TAAAGATATTTTTTAAAATAACTAAAGAATAATTTTTAAAGGATTTAAAAAGCTTATAGTATATTAAAGCTTTTATATAAGCTTTCTTTATTACTATTAAAACACTATATTACTTAATGTAAGCTATAGCTATAGTTAAGCCTAAGATAATTACGTAATTTTAGTTATATAATTAGATTAATTAAGACTATAGCTAAGGTAAGTTAGACTTTAACTTTTATTAATATATAAAATATAAATATATCTCTTTTCTAAAAACCTTAACTATTTAAATTTTTCCCTCTTAAAATACTATATACTAATTCTATTATATACTTATAGTCTTAAACTATAATACTAGTTATAGCCTATTTATATAGTTAACTATTATCCTTACTTAATCTTCTAAAATAATAAACTATATATAGTAAATAGTCTAGCTATAAAAGTTAATCTTTATAAGAAATTTCTTCTTATTATTATTAGGTTTCTTCTCTATAGCTAGCTTTCTTACTAGCTCTTTTAATATAATTAATTTAGTAATTAGAAATAAGGTATAGTTTATATTTATATTCTACTAAATTAACTAAAGAAGCTTATAGCTAAAAGTAGCTAGGTTAACCCTATATATAATAAGGTTAAAAAAGGGATTAAGAACTAAGTTTATAGTAACCTATAATATATATAAGGTAGCTACTTTAATTTCTATAATCCCTAGGTATATATTATTATTATAGTAGTAGTTCTCTATTAGAAAAATACTATAGTACTTAGCTAGGATTTCTATAACTATAAAATAGGTTAGTAATATAGATTAATAGGTAGGGGTTTAATAACTTACTATATATAGGTTAGAACTAAAATAAAGAAGAAAGGAAGGGGGGCTAGGCTACTATACCTTGTATAGTAGCCTTTTATATATATAACTATATTAGTAATAGTTAGAGTTTAGTAGCTATTAGTAATACTAATTAGATTAAGCTTATAACTTAACCTACCTAAGGGGTTATCTTTAATATTAATAAAGCTAGATTCTTAATAAGCTTTCTTTATTTCTTTAAAGCTTATAAAATAAATTAGCTTTTAATTTAAATAGAAAAGTATATAAAAAGTAACTTACTAATTACCTTATAAATAGACTACGACTTAGAGGTAATATAAAAGAAATTACCTTTAAATAAGCTTTAATAGAAATAAAAAGTTTAAATATTAAAAGTAAGGAAAAAAGTCTTAAAACTCTTAATATAATCTTTTAACTCCTTATTAAAGGTAACTAAAGTAAAGTTAAATTCTTACCTTAAATAGAAAATAATAATAGTTCTATTAATAATAGAGGTTTACTTAATTATATAATTAGCTTTTAATTATTAGAAATAATAAAAATAAAGTATAAAATAATAGAAAATAATAAAAAACTTATAGATTATAATACTTAATTAACATTTAAAATAAATTACTACTTATAATTTAATAAGAAAGGTTATTTTTAATAAGAAAATAAAAAATCTATTTAATAGTATTTTCTTTTATAAAAAAAGAGTTATTCTTAGATTTTCTTATAAAAACCCCTTTTAAAAAGGTATTAATAAGTTAGGTATTTATTAATATTTATTACAAAAATAACTAACTAAATAGAAAAAAACCTACCTCTTTTTTCCCTTTTAGTAAAAGTTATTTATACTATTTACTTCTCTTAGTATAATTTTATATTTTAGTTATAATCCAAGGTTTTAAATCCTTTAATAATAGTAGTTAACTTCTAGCTATAGCTATATATAAATTACTTATTAGTATACCTTTAATTAGAAAAATAATAAAAAATAATAAGAAATAATTACTAATATAGTATAGGTAACTTATATTTTTCTTTTTTTTTTAAAAAGGTTAATAAAAAGTAATTTTTTAATAAGAAGCTCTTTTTTAAAAATAGTAGCTTTTATTTTAAAATACTAAAATATAAGTTAATTTTATAAGCTATTAATAAAAGGTACCTAAGAAAATTATAAATTAAACTATTAAAAGTTTAAAAAGGCTACTATTACTTATAAACAGGTAAATTAAATAGGTAAAATAGTAGTAGTTATTAGTAAAATAGTTAAAATTTTCCTAATAGTAATATAATAAAAGAAAGTAGGGAAAAAAGCAATATTATATATATAAAAGTTAAATAGAAATTACTTTATATATATATACTATAATAACTACTAATTATTAATAATATTATTAGGTTATATTACTATAGGTATAATTATAAGATTATATAATCTTATTTAATTAATATACTAACTAAAGCCTTAAACTTTAGCTTATCTTAACTTTAACTTTTAATATATAGAATATATATTTCTTTTATAAATATTAACTTTTTTAAATTTTCTTTTCCTACCTAAATACTATATATAAAGATTATATTATATACTTATAATCTTAAGCTATAATTAATATAACTATTTTATAGTTATATTAATAAGAACCTTACTATTAAAAGCCTTAATTATATTATTAACTTAATCTCTTAAGTTATTAAGCTATAGCTTATAGTAATATTTTTTAATTATCTTAAGAAAGTAACTATTAAGTTATATATATAACTAAGCCTTTATAAACTTTCTTTCTAAGCTTTATAGCTTTATTAGCTTTCTTTTAACTTTTTCTTTTACTTTTTATATATAATACTATTCTTTACTACTAATTAAGAAAAGCTTATAGCTAAAAACTACTAGCTTAACTAAACTAAGGTTATTTTATATAATATAATAAAGCTATTATAATAGCTTTTTAAAATCCTAGTTTAAGAGGGCTTTCTTAAAATTATTAGCTTCTACTTATAGTTACTTAAGCTTATTAATATTATTATAATTTTAAAGGGTATTTTTAATTTTTTATATAATAAAATAACCTTTAATTTAAAGAAAAGGTTATTAGTTAAGGTTCTTTATATAATAGCTAGTATTATAAGTAAGTTATAATAGTTAGTAATATATAATAAAGGGTAAAAACTAAAGTTAATTAATTAACTAGTAGCTTAATATATTAGGAAATAAAGTTACTTATTATATTAAGTTATTTAAAGGTTAAAAGTAAAAAAATAAAAGATTATTTTATATATAGCTTAGTAGCTATTTATATATATTTATTATTATTAAGGTTTAGTAGTTAATATAATATATATACTTAACTTATTAAGATTTAACTTTACTAAAAGAGATTACTATTAATTATAATATTAAAGATAAATTTAACCTAGGACTTATAGTTTAAAAAGGATAATAAATAAAATAAGAGAATATAAAGTAAGTTAATAAAGTTAATAAAATCTATTTAAGCTATAATAATAAATATTTAAGTTTACTTTATTATATATAGCTTTTACTTTTATTTTTTACTTTAATATATTATAAGTTAATAATATAATAATAAAAGGCTTTACTTAATAAAAAACTATTATATATAAATATTTAAAGTAACTATTTTATTAAGGTAATTTATGATAGATTCTTATAGCTTAGAAAATACACCCTTGCAAGCTCCCTTACCAAGCTGGACTAATGTGCTCTTTGTTCTCATATAGGCAGAAATACCCTCGTGCCCATTCTCCAGTCCTATACCACTCATCTTCCAGCCTCCGACAGGCATCTCAGCAGGAGACTCACCCCATGTGTTGATCCAAGTAATGCCTGCATCAAGCTTCTGCACGACTTCATGTGCTAACCCAACATCAGAAGAGACGACGCCAGCAGCAAGACCCATGGGAGTATCGTTGGCTCGAGTGATAAGATCCGACACCCATTCTGGGCGAGAAAGTCCCCGTGTCTTGTAAGGCATGATGCACATGACGGGGCCAAAAATCTCCTCTCTTGCCACTCGCATGTTGTCTGTGCAGTTTGTGAAGACGACCGGGTGAACCCAGAAACCATTGGAAGTCGGTTGCGGCATTCTGGATTCTTTTGAACCGTCGAAAAGAACCTTTGCCTTGTCTACTGAGCGACCATGCTCAATGTACATCTTGACCTTCTCCTGTTGTGCTGCGCTGACCATGGGTCCAAAGTTGGTGGTACTCCTTTGTGGTAGACCCATACGGATTCCCTCTCGACATCGCTGGACAATAGCCTCCTCGACCTGAGCCAAAAGGGTGTCTGGGACAAAGACACGAGTTCCGTTGGTGCACACCTGGCCCGTGGAAAAGAAGTTGGCAACCATGGCTGTGTCAGCTGCTTCCTCGACGTCTGCATCGGGCAGAATAACAAGCGGGCTCTTTCCGCCAAGTTCCATAGTAACACCCTTCATATCCTTGACTGCTTGACTGGCGACCTTGCTGCCTGTGCTTACTTGACCAGTGAAGCTCACTTTGGCAATGTCGCTGTGGGCCACAAGAGGGGCGCCAACGGCGATGCCATCGCCATACACAACGTTAAAGACTCCTGGAGGTACACCTGCCTCAATGTAGATCTGGGCGAGGGTGTCGGCATGGAGTGGAGTCACCTCACTAGGCTTATAAACCATACAGTTGCCAGCAGCTAGACAAGGTGCTGACTTCCAGAGAGCGATCTGGATAGGGTAGTTCCAAGCACCAATGCCAGCGCATACTCCTAGAGGTTCATGGGTTGTGAGGACAAAAGCGTCGGGACGAAGGCGAGTGTTCTGGCCAGGAAAGCTGCCAGCAGCCATATGTGCGTAGTATTCGAGGACATCGGCACCAGTTGCAACATCAACGGCTGCAGTCTCGGACAAGGGCTTGCCAGTGTCAAGTGTTTCGGTCAATGCAAGCTCATCGTTGCGTTTTCGTAGAATAGAAGCTGCCTTGAGGAGAATGGCAGCACGTTCAGGAGCTGGTGTTTGGGACCAAACAGGGAATGCAGCCTTGGCAGCTGCGACTGTCTGGTTGAGTTGGTCTGGCGTGGTAGTGTAGATAGTTGCAAGAGGCTTTGCAGTGCTTGGTTCGACAGATACAAAGGTGTTAGATGAGGAGGAGGACTCGGGTTGGGGTCGTCCAGAATGGAAAGTGTGAATCTCTGAAGGGAAAGTCATTGTAGCTCAAAGGGTAGATGGCAGAAAGATCACAGAATAGATAGAGAGACAAGAGTATTCACGGCAAAGCAAGTGCCTGGACCAAAGGATATACAGTAGGTAGGTAAGGTAAGGTAAGGTCTTCTGATTTGTCTGGATGCTCTCTGTCTACCTTTTGCTTGTGTGGAGAATGGAATGGATGGATGTAAGTCAGATAATAAAGGCAGTCGGGATAGAGGCAAGTACAACTGTGCAAGTGCCGTCAAGCCCCACTTTTGACTGATGCCGGGTACCTTCCTCTTCTAGCAAGATACAATGACGCGGGTCCAAGTCATACTGTGAAAGCACAGTAGAGTTGAGCAACCAATGAGAATCTTGTCGAGTATCTGATACAGTACAAGATGAAGAGTTCAAACCAAGTAGTGTAGCTTCGATCTGTCTCTCATTTCCGTTCTTGCATTGGCCTGCTATGTAGCAAATTTTCTGCTCGTGATTGATGTCTTGTCTGTGACGTGAACGGACAGACTGGCAAGTCTGGGGTTGAGATTTGAGTCTGGAGATAGGGTTTAACATGACTCGAGCTATCGGCGTGCAACATGGGAATACTGTAGCTGAGAAGACTGTTCCGTATGATCTGAGCGTCTACTACTGTACAGCCTTACAGTATGAAACTATCGAATTCTGGAACTACAGTATCCATTTGCTGGCTGTTAGTTGAGGGTCTTTTGGGCTGGGCTTGAGACGCGAGACCCTCTCTTTGCTTACAGGAAAGTTGGCTCAAGATTCAGTGCAGATACCAGCAAAATAGTCCGTCGTTATCCTCTCAGCTCGCATTGCCTCGTAAGAAGATGTAGAGTCTAGACAATGCCGAACGGCGCCAAGTCTGGGTGGCTGTGGAGTGGAGACGGTAGTGGAGATATTCACGTCATTGGTGAGTTAGCTCAGTTAGCTACTACTTGTGTAGCACCAGAGCAGGAGGAAACACCACCCACCACCTTGAGAGCTTCCTTCGTTCAGCCCGAGCTCTTGACCTTTTTTTGTCAAGGACAGTGCACTTGCTTTGCTTATCTTTGTCTGTATTTGCTAGTGGTAAAGAAAAGTTCCCAAGATAATGTTTTCACCAAAACAAGCCTCAACCTTTGCCGTATCTATGCACAAGACAATTCTTGTAGCAACTCGGATCAAGCGGATCAAGCACGTGGGAATAAAGGGGAGAATAAAGAAAACAATAAAAAAAATACATCGAAAATAAGGGACTGTGGAGTAAACACTGTCACTCTTCTCGGTCCAATTGTCACGACTCAAAATTCGATCTTTGAAGATTATCGATCTGACGGGCATGTTACCCCAACCACGCTAAACCTAATCAGTATGCTAAGCTACACTTCAAACTTGGCAAGCACATGGCAAGGATGGCTATGTATGGGGTTTTAGTGGTGAACTGAACTGTCCCTGCAGCATACTGCACTGTAGTGGCTACTGTACGGTACGGTAACCGACGTAGTGGGATCAATTTTATTCGATAAATAAATTTTCATTGATAACGATAAACACGCGAAGCCAGAACAGGAACTTATCGTACATTTGCAAAGATGAAAAGTCTCAGTATCATGCATCTGTAAGCGAGGCCACGAATACTCGGATAACATGCCTCGACATGTGTTTCTGTTGAATGATGATCCTGTCTGTGCTGTAGTCTATCTTGTCATATCAAGAGTGCTTTGAGTGAAGCCAACTTGAACCATATGCCTGTCTGTCTTGACTCAGTACCGGTTGACTACCTTGTCTTCTACGTGCTATTCTACCTAGACAACCCCGAATACAGCTCAAGAAAACAAGTTATTGCTTTTCGATAAGCCGAGGCGGTACATGCGGCAAACAGGGAAAATTGGGACTGAGTCGGAGCCTTGCTGCAAGCCGGATCCGGGTCTCCATTCTCCCTGCTCCAATTCTCGCCGTCAAACGGCCCCACCCTATACCGTTCAAGGCATGGCCAACTGACCGAGTACTGTAACTTCAACGCTCTTTGCGCGGTTGAGGCGTCAAGAGAGAAACGATATTGGCATTCATTCACCTTTGTACATCTCAATGCGCCGAATAACTTAATTCTTCGAGTTAAATAGCCATTTCTTTAATATCGTGCAAAATCCTCCAAGATAGCAGTTGGAAAAAGACAAGGCAAATTGACTTTTGACCCCAGTCACTCTGCCCTGCAAGTTCAGCAAGATAACTGTCCTAATTGACTTGCACACAACAATACAACGTCATGCGGATATCGGCTATTCATTTTCACATTGGATTACGATTGCTGAATCACAACTTCGGTATCACCGAATACAGATTCCCGAAGTCGGTGAAGACGAAAGACCTGTCTTTCAGAACAAAACATCCATAGCAGAACAGCCGCCAAGACCCGCTACGGCTAGCCTCGTTTTTCTGCAATTCAGATGGTCAAACCAGCTTTCTCCCTGACTCCTGACGTTGGTTTCTTCTCGCCGCCGCCCTCCGCTTTCTTTCTTAGTGTTTTGATCCACCCACCAGCCTTGCTGAGAGTGTGTTAGCTCTCTCAACCAATCATCGCCACACATCCTCCACCAACCGCTACTTTGTGCAACCGGAAGAGTACTTCGAGTCGAGACTAAACACCATGTAAGTCATTACAATTGACACTGTATACTGCTTCACAGGACCCTTCCGTGATCTGGGACCCCACTTGGAGCTGATGGTCGTTCATTTCAAAAACATCTTGATCGCCTCGACTTTCGAGTACAAGAGCACTCCTTCTTCTAGCTCTCAATCCGTTTCTCATTCCTCTTCAACTCCTCTTTCTCGACATCCATTGATACCCCTTGTCCGAGTGAACTTGACATACATACCTTCATTAAACATATCATATCATTCTTGTACTTACCTCCCATTCACTTACACCAACCGACACCATGACTACTGAGTTCCTTCCCGCTTCCGCCAGCAATGCTTACGACTACATCATCGTGGGCGGCGGCACGGCTGGTTGTGTTCTGGCCTCTCGTCTCTCTGCCTATCTCCCCGAGCGCAAGGTCCTCGTGATCGAGGGTGGCCCTTCTGACTTCGGCCTCAACAATGTTCTTAACCTTCGAGAGTGGTTGTCGCTTCTCGGCGGTGACCTCGACTACGACTATCCCACAACCGAGCAGCCCAATGGCAACAGTCACATCCGACACTCGCGAGCCAAGGTCCTCGGTGGTTGCTCTTCTCACAACACCCTCATCTCCTTCCGACCTTTCCGTCATGATATGGACCGATGGGTCGCCAAGGGTTGCAAGGGCTGGGACTTCGAAACCGTCATGCGAAGCGTCGACAACCTGCGTAACCAGCTGAACCCCGTCCACCCTCGTCACCGAAACCAGTTGACCAAGGATTGGGTCAAGGCTTGTTCCGAGGCTATGGGCATTCCTATCATCCACGACTTCAACCACGAGATCTCTGAGAAGGGCCAGTTGACCCAGGGTGCTGGCTTCTTTTCCGTCTCCTACAACCCCGATACCGGTCACCGTAGCAGTGCTTCTGTTGCTTATATCCATCCTATTCTTCGAGGTGATGAGCGACGTCCCAACCTGACAGTCCTCACCGAGGCTCATGTCTCAAAGCTCATTGTCGAGAACGATGTTGCTACGGGTATTAATGTTACCCTCAAGTCCGGCGAGAAGCACACTCTGCACGCTCGCAAGGAAACCATCCTGTGCGCTGGTGCTGTTGATACTCCCAGACTTCTCCTTCACTCTGGTATTGGACCCAAGGCCCAGCTCGAGTCCCTCAACATTCCTGTTGTCAAGGATATCCCTGGTGTCGGCGAGAACCTTTTGGATCACCCCGAGACTATCATCATGTGGGAGCTGAACAAGCCTGTTCCTGCTAACCAGACCACCATGGACTCCGATGCTGGCATCTTCCTTCGACGCGAGCCCAAGAACGCCGCTGGCAACGACGGCGATGCAGCCGATGTTATGATGCACTGCTACCAGATTCCCTTCCACCTCAACACCGAGCGTCTTGGATACCCCACCATCAAGGACGGCTATGCTTTCTGCATGACACCCAACATCCCTCGCCCTCGCTCTCGTGGCCGCATCTACTTGACCTCGGCCGATCCCACTGTCAAGCCCGCCCTTGACTTCCGCTACTTCACTGATCCCGAGGGCTACGACGCGGCCACTCTTGTTCATGGTATCAAGGCTGCTCGCAAGATTGCCCAGCAGAGCCCCTTCAAGGAGTGGCTCAAGCAGGAGGTTGCCCCTGGTCCCAAGGTTGAGACAGATGAGGAGATTAGCGAGTACGCTCGCCGCGTAGCCCACACCGTCTACCACCCTGCTGGCACTACCAAGATGGGCGATACCGAACGAGATGAGATGGCCGTCGTTAACCCCGAACTCAAGGTTCGCGGCATCAACAAGCTCCGTATCGTCGATGCTGGTATCTTCCCTGAGATGCCTACCATCAACCCCATGGTGACTGTCCTTGCTTGCGGTGAGCGGGCCGCTGAGCTTATTGCTGCAGAGGAGGGCTACAAGCCTAAGCACTCTCGACTGTAAAGTGCTTCGGATGATTTTTTAATTGTCCGCGAGCGCCTGGCCTCGACAGAGTAACCGTTTTGGATATATGTATGATTAAATGATTAGCGTATGATTGCATCCTCGTAGCGAGTATAGTATTACTGTATATAGGTAGTTGGAACAAAACATTTCAAGCCAAGTTTGTCAACCGAATACAACCAAGCAATTCTCGGGAGCATTGGGCCCGATTTGCCGTGACTGAACCCACTGTTTTGGGTTGGTGTCGGGCTGTCATGGCCCGAGACAGCCACCTGCACCTGGGGCTGGTCCTAACCAGCTCCTCAAACCACGCGAGATTTTGCCGCAGCGGTTCAGTTAAACAGGCACAACGGGCCGGCGACTTTCCACCACTAATCAATTCTGCCGGAAGTCTCAACTTAGTTGAATGCGTTGGTCTCGATGGAGATTGTCGAATGCCAGAGATTAGCCGTAGTGGTGGACTGGGACAGGATGCTATGCTAGATATTTGCCATTGTGAAACGAAAGATATATGCGGATGATCGATCCAGTCAAAACCGATCGGGGAACCCGAGTTCTCTGGTTGTCATATTATGGCAAAGACTTTCTTATGCATCCCTTCCTCGGCGCCTGACGGATCCGGTATCTTGGTGATAAGCATAAGCTGTGGCAAGCTGCCAGCCAGACGATGAATATAGATTGTTCATTATAGCATTGCATAGTAGGCTGTTCTAGAGAATATAGTTAGCCAAATCACAACACGTTATCATGCAAGTTGCCCCTTCACAAGTCTCATGTGGCCATTTCTTTTGTTATCTGGGCATTCTGATTATCGTTAGGCGGATAATGGGCCGTAGAGCCGTGCAGCCATCAACTTCCTCAAAAGGAAATGTGTGGGGTATTGCCGGGGTTTCGGGACGGAGCGTTGAGTAAGAAGTGGATGGTTCGACGGATGACAGGCCCGAAGTGTGTGCTTGGAGATCCATCCACAGTCTCTCGGCAGGGACCCTCGGTCTGGGACCCTCACCCTCTACTCCTCCATGGGGAATATCGACAGTTTGTCCTCCGGGGCTCCAGATGAGATGAGATGGTCTTAGCAGAGCCCCGGTCCGGCCAGCCGCTTGCTAAAAAGGCCCCAATCAGTAACATGCTGTAGGGCTAGTTTATAGAAGAACCACTGCGAGCTTTTGATGGTTTCTTTTGCTCTGGTTCGCTTTGCTTTGCTTTTGATTTGAGTCTTTGCAATTTGATGCACAATTCGATTTAACGCACCGCTCCGTACATATGGCTGAGATACTCAGGTCGCAGAGATTTTCCGTTTTCTTCTTGAACTATTAACAAAAGCTCAACATAGCGCAGGATCTTGAAGACACTGTCCTGTCAGCACTTGACCTGCAAACAAAAACAACCAAAGGCGCAACACAACGCATAACCAAACTATGGCTACACCAACAGTCGACTTACCGCCGACTTGTGAAGAGGAGGTTTCCGCGCCCATACTAGACCATGCTCAAGGGCTAGCTTCAGCGATTGGAGTAGCAGCCGTGGCAGCTGTGGCAGTTGGAGACGGCCTCGCAAATGGACTTGCATATGCGACGCCAAAATCATATCAAGGTCACATGGCGCAACAAGAAGGCGAAATTTATCAAATAGAGCCAAAGTGTGCACGCGAGGCAAATCAACAAAGGAGCCTAAGAGAAGCGCAGGAGAAGTGGGATGCTGCAACCATGGGAACGGCAACAAGGGTCGAAACAGTTATAGCGGCGGAAGGTGGAGGTGGAGGAGGAGCAGAAGCAGAAGCAGGAGCAGAAGCAGGAGGAGGAGGAGCGCCTGAAGGGGTGTACCTTCCGCCTAGAAAAGGCGCTGATGCGGCAGGTCAACAGGTCAGAGCTGCTCTTTCCCGCACCCGCCTTGGCCGTTCGAACCCCTCCATCTCCAGCTCAGGCTCAGGCTCCAGCTCCAGTTCCAGTTCAAGCGCATCCTCATACAATACCACCACCACAAACACCAACAACACAGCTGCTGCTACTGCTCCAAGCAACGCCTTAAACTTCACTCAAACCGGTCGCATTACAAAACCTCGTCATCGCGCCTCTCTCTCGGCCCCAATCGCTGCGTCGCTAGTAACCGCCGCCATCACAGAAAGTGCCAGATTATCTTACGAGGCGAAGCTCACTGCGGCGCTTGCGGCCAATATACCTGGCAAGATGGTCGGCAGTCATTCGAGCACGACAACTACAGCTCTGCCCTCGCTAAAAGCAAACGGATTGCCATCGCTGTCGCCAACTCCCAGAACAAATGGCTCAACGCCCACCATAAGCACTCCTTCCATTGATAAGGACCAACCCGTCGTTTCTTTCTGGGGTCCTGAGCCCATCGCACTCCCCTCACGTTTCGCCCGCATCAAACAGAACCTCATTCGTGGCCACGAGGCCGAGCTTGAAGCTAGCTGGGCTCGTCTCATTACCGCGCTACGCAAAGAGGTCAGTCACATAGAAGATCTTGGCGCTCATCTTATCCCCTCAATCGAGTTTGGCGATCTTGATGACTCTGTTCAAACCGCCCGCTTCGGTCACGATTTGAGGCGTTACGGCGTGGGAGTTGTTCGCAAGGTTGTCCCCCGGGCAGATACCGATACTGCCGTTCAGGAGACCGTCGATTATCTAGACAGCAAACGGCACGTAAAAGCGAAGGCCTTGCAACAGCATGATCCAGCATGTTTCGACTTCTTTTGGACACCTGCCCAAGTTCGCTCGAGAGCGCATCCGAACGTTTTGAGCGCCCAACGCTTTATGATGGGCCTATGGGAGACCAACCCTGACGATCAACTAGTTACACGACTTCCCATTACTTACGTCGATCGTATACGTGTGCATGGGAACAGCGAGAATCAGTCCAATAATCTCAACGTTCCGCCCCTTGAACCACCGCAGTCCGCCAACGACTGGATACAAGCTTTACAATCATCCGCAGGCATTACCGCCCAGGTCGATAACGGATCTCTCGAGCGCTGGGAGCCCGACGGTTACCAGCATGCCGGCACCTATAATCACATCTTCCACGGCAAGTGGGAGGATTACGATCCATGGAAATGCACCAGCCGAACGTCTGTGACTACTGACCTCTACAATGGCTATGGTGCTTGCACTATCTTCCGCATGTTCCAAGGAATCCTGGCACTTTCCACTGTTGAGCCTGGTATGGTCCGTCTCTTGCCTTCACCCAAGCTTGCGACAGCTTACTACCTGCTCCGTCCATTCTTCACAACCAAGAATCCACCACCGGAGAATCGTACTGGGCCTGAATGGGAAGCGTATTTGGCTCCCGATAATTGGAAGTTACAAACTGAGCCCGATTCTATTATTCATGGAGCAGTGCCCGGACATGCGCAGAGAATTACCGAAACCTGGCATCCTCACCTGCATCTAAGAAACAGCATGATCACGCTACCAACTCTGCAGCCTGGCGACTACATCTTCTGGCACCCAGATCTCCCTTATTATCTTTCTAGCAACAATTATGGTCTCAAAACACCCAGCGGTAGCAAGAATGAGGTGAGCATGCTGGTATACATCCCAGCTGCCCCGCTCACTCAAACAAACGCACTCTATCTTGCGCGACAGAGAAAGGCATTCCAACGGGGTCATCCCGGACCGGATTTTGACTCGACCGGCAGAGGTATAGTCGAAGAAGATGCTGAGACTCGACCTGGCGAAAAGGAAATCGCCGAAGTAGGAGGGCCATCCTCATTACAGGCCATGGGTCTTGCTCCGTGGGAAGTCGCTGGTACTCGCTCTGGCACACCACCTCCCGACAAGTCCAAGTCAAAGACTGAAGCAGACTCCGAGATGGATGTCGATATTGATGTGGATGCCAAGAGTTCCGCGAGCACATCATCAATCTCTCGAGCTGAGGCGGAGGTTGTGCGTCTAGCCAATATCATCCTATTCCCCGAAAGGTCGATGCTGGGATATTCTGTGTGAACAGGCAGTGATGCATAAGGTCTTGTTATCCACCCATTATGCCTTTTTGGACCCATTGTTTTCTTTCGCCTTTTCATTCAACTTTCGATAGCATAAGTCTTGGGGCTCTATGGATGAGGCCAACGGAAGCATTACACAGGAGTTATGGAGTCAGTGCGGGAATATATGTTAGACAGAAATAGTTATCATTTATATGCAAAGCCCGCTTTATGTCCGCCATCTGCAAGAATATCAAGCCTAGTCTAAAACCCTCAACGCCAGATGTGAAATAATTACGCCGCCTGTTCTAGATCTTCTATCTACGAGTTCTCGCTCAATGTTCTTGCAATGCCATCCACCAAGGTTACAGCCTCATCATGAGAGATCTGTTGCTGGGAACCAAAAACTCCTATGCTTAGACTCTTGCCATTAATCGAGGCTTCGACATCGATAGCCATCTAGGACGCCGCATGTTAGTTATCGCAAGGCTAATTGAACAGGCACAAATCGACTTACCGGAATATCGTTTTTGACAATACTTTCCACGGGGTACAGCTCGAAAGGATCAGGCGCGCAATGGTGGCCAGCGACATCTGTGTCTTGTTCAGACAGTACCTTGATGGAGTTGCTGATCGAGTCGGCGTTACTCGAGAGGCTTAGAAAGTTCACAAAAGATGTTACTTGCATACCCGTCCATTGTGCAATCTCCCAAAGACCAGCGTCTGCTCGCCCTTCAGACGTGATCTGATGAATATCTCTTTGGATGTCTGCAGCAACAACAACCAGAGGGCGGTTGGGAGAGTCAACCCTCAGAGGTACTAGATTCAAGGTGGGGTAGGTTTGTGGGAGATTCTCGCCAGCGGCTCGATTAGCAAGGTACATGCCAAACACAACTTCCGAGACATTGTTGTGGTTAGCGAGTGCTCTCGCATAAGCTGAAAGAAACAAAGATTGGAATGAAATGCCAGACTGTGTGGCAAGGATCTGGATTTGACTGATATCTGAGATCGCTGAACTGTCGAAATGCGAGGTCCGCATTGTGACGTCTACTTCCGGCTTGGTGATGATAGGATTGGGAGACGCGCCCTTAAGGTACGATGTCCAGAACTCTTGTCTCGCCAGACGAGCTGCATCCGTAGTATGGCGCATGGCAAACTGCTTCCAAGGAGAAAGCCCGACATCGCCAGTATTGGTAGAACCGTTCAGTAGCTCAGAGAATCGTTGCAACAACGCTGGAAGACTGACTCCATCATAAAGAGCGTGGTGTAGTCTAAGACGCAGGATCCATGTATCTTGGTTCTCCTGCTGAATACTTCCCGCGATCAATGGCCGAGTGCAGCAGTTTGGTTCCTCTCCCACATGCGCTCCTGTTAGTGGAACTACAAGGTTCTTCATAATAACCTGTATAAAGGGGATGGCCAGAGACTTTGTGGCAATGAAGCATGTTCGTAGAAGTGGTATTTCAGACACAAGTTTGCTCCAAGCGTCATGAATTCCTCCTATACCAGCTGAGGTATTGATTCTGCAAGGGAATTCTGGGAAGAAGACGGATCCGTTGGAGCGTTGCCACGCAGTCAACATGTAAACTTGCATCGGTAACGCTGGCAGGACTTCTGCTTCTTCGTTTCGGATGCCGTTCTCAGTAAGTAGCTGGTTTATGTCAATGTCAGTGGGAGGACTCCATCCTGCATCAGTCTTTGGCATTTGCAAGGGCGTCGTTGGCTTGTGTTCAGCCTTTTGGGCCATTTCCGAGATGCTCGAAGATCGGATAAGATCTTGTAGGCGGAGGTCGATGCCCACTATCCTCAGAAGAGAAGATACTTTGATGGCGGTGATCGAGTCAAGGCCAAGGTGATACAGATTGTCAGATCGCTTGATAGAAGAGATTGGAACATTTGAGACTTGATGAAGAATATCCCGAATTCCTTCTTCGACTTGACTCCACTCAATCTTGTCGTCTGTTGGCGATTCTATGATCGAATTGTGCTCAAGAGCCATGCTCTCAGCCAAGACGATTGGAGAGGTACCGCAGATCGATACGCCACGATCACCAAATGATAGGATTTCGGGGGCATTTGGCTTCATAAGAAAGCTCATAACACTGTCTAGCGTCTCGAAAAGGCTTTGAGCACCCCCGTCCCAGTTGCATTGGGGCTGGATTGCGAGCCTCCATACTAACGAGTCAGAAACGGGTTCAGCTTCCAAGCAAAGAGGATATTCAGTCGCCGAGGACCCTTCAACCGAGGTTAATAGAGGATGGTCCATCGGGTCGCGCGAAGCCGGTGATTTTTGAAGTATGAACAATGTGTTGAATAAATCCCGTCCGCCAATCTTTACGGCCGATTGAGCCTTGCTGAGGGGGTAATGCTGGAAGTCTCGAATGTCAATCATGTTTTCTTCCATGTAACGTAGGAATTCAGGAGCTGAGCCATGGAGGATACAACGTAGGGCAACTGTGTTCATTGTTGGAAACACCAGGCTTTCAGCTCCGTCAAAATCCCTGCCAGATAGGACGGTGCCGAACGTCACATCTGTACTCTTGATCTGGCGTGCTAGAGTGATAGACCAACAGGCCTGGCAAAAGACCTGAAGACTGACGGAAAGCCTTTTGCAAGCTGTGTCGATATCTGATAGGGTAATTGTCGACACAGACTCGAACCGCTGAGCGGTAGTCTCTTCTGCTGGAAGCAAAGCCTTCGTCTCAACCACCGACGATGAAGCGTCTTCCAAGTATTGGGTCCAGAATTCCCGAGCTTTGCGAGTTGTGGAATGCAAAACTCTGGTGATAAATGGCTCTACTGAGGGTCGTATGATTGATCTCCCCCCCAATAGTGCCTCGAGGTCTTGGAACATTGTACTCAAAGACCATCCATCATAGAGGGCGTGCGCCATTGAAAGAACCACGTATCTTTCTTGGCCTACGCTTGCCAGTCTCAGTTGGAAAAGATGCTTCTCTCCTTGTCCACCTCTAGCCACAGCTGTCGCAATATCGGTGACCTGACGCAACTCATCGAGGTCTTGCATTTCCATCACTTCAAAGTCAATATCAAGCGACTTGTGCACCACTTGACAATATGTCATGTCCAACTCCTGACTCTCGACATGCACAAAGCCGGTCCTTAAGATCGGAGTTTGGTGTATAAGTTGCTGCCAGGCTTCAACGAGGCCTGCGGTATCAACTTGATTAGACATTCGTAGAATATTATGGTTGAAATAAGATTGAAAATCAGATTGGACCATCCCGGCTATCATGGACTCCTGGAGATGGGTAGGCGGTAGCACAGATTCCACGTTTTTCATGTCCATACCTGAAGCTTCGAGATACCTGTGTAACCTGTCTTTAATATGCGTCAGGGAATCTTCGTTTTCCGGGTGTGCCGAGTCAGTTGCGAGGTTTGTCAACTCAGTAGCCATCCTGGCAATTGTCTGATGACGCATGATTTGTGAGGGTGGCAGGTTAATACCCCTCTTCTTGAGCTTGGCTGAAAGTTTGATCACATCAATGCTGTCAAGACCGAGTTCCAGGATAGAGATATCTTGGGCAATGTCTTCGGGTATAATGTCGGTCAAATGCGATATCTCGTTTCGGATTTCTTGAGCCTCTATGGTCCATTCAAAACGACTCTGTGCCTCTCCTGTGGCTGGTTGCTTGCGACCATCGCTGATTGGAATCTCCCTGAATTCAGGAACAGGCACCTCGCTCTCCGGAGAATTGGCCGCCAGGTCTGCAAAACGTTCAATCTCACTGAGGAGATGGTGGAGGCCTGACGAAGAAGTTACATGTCCTTGCGCAACAAGAGTAAGCCGGAGCCTTCTTTGTTGCGTGTAGACAGCTTCTAGAGCGAGAGGATAGTCGGGAATGGCCTCGCTATCCTCTATCTCAAATGGAAGCTCGTGGCCATTAGTATTGTCTACTTCAATCTGGTAGGTGAAGAGATTGTCGAACAGGGCTTTGTTATGGGAGCACCATTTCTGAATCTCCTTCAGGGGAATATGTTGAAAGTCCAGAACTGAGGCATTGAAGTCGTGGCATCGACGTACAAGCGATTTCCAATTCTCGTGTGGGACGTACTGGCGATTGAAAGGGACGGTATTGAATAGAGGGCCAATGGTATGTTCGGCCCCTGGAAGATCAATCGCTCGACCTGATACGACAACGCCAATAGTGACTTGATTTTGTACCATGTTCTGCAACACAGAAGTCCAAAGTGCCATTACAACAGCCTGAAGTGTAACGTTTTGCGAGGATCGAATCGCCTCGAGGCTCGCGATAGACATCTCACGCTCAGCGACACTAACTGAGTCGGATGCGCCGTTCTCGTTTGCTGTGATCGGAGAGGTGACCCAACCATCCAAGTGCTTCTCCCAGAAACTTCTACAGCTGTCATGTCTTGATAAAGGACCAGACACGAGGGCTTCATAGAATGAAGGCCCTTGAGAAGAAGCAACCCCTGTGTAGTTAGCACCTACCTTACCCATCATGAGATCGAAACTATTCCCATCATAAAGGGCATGGAAGATGTAGATAACAAGCAATCTTGATGTAGGTGTTTCCACAAAAGCCAACAAAAATGGCTGCGTGATCAAAGATTCGTTTCTTTGTATCCAAGTCGCCTTTTGCTCTTCAAGATAACCTCCAACCTCTTCGTCTGAGCCAACGATACTCGATACCCAGGGGAAGGTAGGGTTCCTCAACGCTACCTGCAAGAACCCATCCATCGTAGGCACGAAAACAGTTCTCAGGATGCTCTCTGACGAGACTAAGTCTTTCCATGCCTGTTCGAGTTTTGATTCGGATGTTTTCTGATGGAGTTGCAGCTTGAATGCATTGAAGTAAGCACCAGGCTTGCTGCTCGTGATGGATCGCGAAATGATTCCTTGTTGCAATGGTGAGCATGGTGCGATATACTCGATATCCGCTGGCTCAACGCCGAGACTCTGGCATACTAAGCCACGATGCCGATGGGCGTACGCTTGGATAGACTGTTCAGCTCCTCGAGTAAGCTTCTGTCGTTGCGTCGAGGCGGTATTAGCAAGACAGTTCGCAAGGTCACCGATGATAGGGTTTCTGAGCAATGTAGCAGGAGATGCTGCTGGGAGGCCGCAAGATTTGAGGAGCGCGGCTAGTCTGAGTGCAGTGATAGAGTCGACGCCGACATCGAATATGCTTGTTGTAGGTGAAAGATCATCTTTATTAATCCCACTGAATTGCGCAATTGCCTCGCATATCAAAGCCAAAACGTTCTGGGCTCCTTGCGAAACAGGAGCTGATGCGGCATGTGAGAGCTCCATGAGCGTTTCCGGAGCGAGTTCATTGAACAGCTTCTTCAGATCCTTAATCTCCGCCTTGTTGTTTGATGAAAGCGGGATATACGGAAGGGTGAGGATGTAAGTTGGCACCATGTATCCTGGTAGCTTAGCACGGCAGGCATCTTTTGCTTTAGCAGCTAGACCTTCTCTGTCCTGCATGACTTCGAGTGGCTGTCTAATGGGATTCTTGCCAACGACAAATGCCACCAAGACATCCTTACCACTAGTTCCATGACGAGCCACAATCGTTGCAGCATCATGAATATCATTGACGTCTGTACGTATGATGTGGTTGATCTCAGCAATTTCAAGCCGTTGCCCTCGCAGCTTGACTTGATCGTCAGCCCGACCGAGGAACTCGAAGCAGCCATCGTGAAGGACACGGACGAGATCTCCAGTTCTGTAGACCCTCTCACCAAACTCCTCGAGGCTGGGAAATCGTTCTTCTGTGAGTTGAGGCCGGTTTAGGTAGCCTTTGCCGACCAGCCTACCTGACACACAAAGTTCGCCAACACCGCCGCGTAGAACTGGTGTATTCGTGTTTTGTTTGAACACAAACGAACCAACGTTGGGGAACTGTTTTCCAATGTTGCTGGGTCGGCCATTGATGGGCACGCGTTGGAACATAGTGACGCCAATAGTGGCCTCTGTTGGACCGTAGGCATTGTAAATGACGCCTTCTGGTCCCCAAACATCGAGAATCTCTTGCTTGAGCTGTTCGCCTCCAGTGATAAAGACACCACGACAAAGACTAGGGACCTCGTTGGGATGAGTCAACCGTGCCAGACTTGGTGTCAGGTCAATGTGCGTAATTCCAAGCTTGTTGATGGACCCTGTCAGGTCATCTAAGATGAGATCTTTCGGGGCAGCAACAACAGCCATGCCCACAGACCAGCTCCAATATTGCTCGAGAACAGAGACATCAAAGTGCAGTGCTGCAAATTGAAGCCAGCGTGATTCATCATCCCAGTGGTCCTTGAAGAGCTCCTGGAAGGCCATCATCGCTTGTACAGCATTGTCATGGGTGATCTCGCAGCCCTTGGGAGTCCCTGTAGTTCCAGATGTGTAGAGGCAATAGCAGGTGTCTGAGGGAGACATTTGTGGTTGGAAAGCAAGATCTTCTTGCTCCATGTTTGTCAGAGACTCCACGTCAAGTTCCAAAATGGCTGTATTGGCTTCAAAGTCAAGATGTTCCGAACGTCTGGTAAGGAGACAAGGTGCCTTCGAATCTTCAACAATAAACTGTTTTCGAGCCTTTGGCGCTGATGGGTCGAGGGCAACAAAGGAACAACCAGCTTTAAGAATACCGAGGATCGAAAAGTAAGCTTCAGGGCACTTTTCAAAGTGAATTGCAACGATGCTACCGGGAGTGAACTTTTCTTGCAGTATGTTTGCCACTCTGTTTCCCATAATATTGAGCTGGCGGTAGTCCCATTGTTGCTTGACGCACATATCTCCGTCAAAAGCTGAGACAAACTCAAGAGCAAGTTTATGAGGATGCATAGCTGCTCTCAACTCCACGAACTGGTGAAGGAATTGCACAGGGGCATCGAGTACTGGAGATGAGGGCGGTAGAATAGAGTACAAGTCAGATGTAATGCTGAACGCGTCGTCCTCAGTGGTGGAAGGATTGGAGACGATGTGGCTCAGCGAGGCATCGAATTGTCTCATCAGAAGCTGTGCTTGCTCGCGAGGAAGGATATCATCATAGTAAGTGATACAAAGACGAATCTCATCGTTGCTTTTAGGCTCAACCTCTAACGAGACCGAATACTCGACTCTTGCCTCGTCACTAACCAACTTCCATGGCAAAGAAGATTCGGCGGCAGGCATCTTCTGATAAGCAATAAGCGAGTCAAACACAGGGCCGGCTGGATGACCTAGCCATTTCTGAACCCTGTTGAGAGGCGAGAACTGATGCTTATGAAGGTGCTGGTTGTAGCTCATCATATGGCTGACCAACTCAGCATTGGATGGAACATTGGTAGCCACAATAGGAACAGTATTGAGACATGGGAACGCAGCGTCTCTCGTCTCATCGGCCATTCTTCCAGATAGTGCAACGCCGAATACTACTGAGTTCTCGCCAAGGTAAGAAGCTAGAACACGGGTCCAGGCCGCTTGGATGACCGCTTGAATGGTCACATTTGATGCTTGGGTAGCTTGCTTGAGTGTCATAAACGACAAGGAGGCCGTGGTTGCGTCTGCCAATACGCATCGGCTTTCAACGTGCAGCGGTGTCATCAATGGAAACTTGTTGACAACACAGCTACTCGCTTTGGCCTCCCAGAAAGCCTTCTCAGATTCTTGGTCGTCCAGTGAGTTACTCATGATGGCAGACACCGCAGGCTCAATTCTAGAGATTGGCGACAGTTGCTCGTTCTTGACAAATCGATTAAGGTCATCGAGCATCAATTGAAGTGCGGGTGCATCGTAAAGAGCATGGTGAACAATGAGCCTCATGGAAGTCCCTTCAGGCGTCTCGGCCAGAAATACTGTCCAAAGGGGATGGTGCAAAGCAGCAAGAAAATCCTGGCTTATGCTAGCCTTCAGTTGCAAAAGGTCAGACATGTTATCATCATCAGATGCTGAAACGCTTAAGGGCGTCTCCATCGAGCCTGGTGTGTATCTAACCATGGCGAATGAGGTGTCCGCATGCTGAATGGGAACGAAGCCAGTCCTCAACATAGGATGTCGCTCATGGAGCAACTGCCAGGCTTTTTCAAGATCCCCAAGTGAAATTCCATCTGTGACAATGTACTCCATGGCATTGAGATAGTGTTCGCCTCCAGACTGTATGAAGGATGCCAGCATAGCAGATTGTACAGGCGTGGAGGGAAGGATTGTTTCAACGATTGTTGTCTCGGACAGGCGTTCAACAACCTCTGGGTAGACCTGGCGTGAGAACTGTTCAAGGTCATATTTCTTTGCATACTCGCTCTTTGCTTTAGAGCCGTTCTCCAGCAGCTTCGCAGATATCTTGGTGCAGCTAGGGCACTCAATCACATCAGAAGCGGAAATCACAAATCCGCTCTGACGTAGAATCGATGCCACTTGAACGGCGTTGATACTATCCAGACCCAATTGAAAGATGGTTGTATGGCGATGGATTTGCTGTTCGCTCACTCCAGAGAGTTTGGCCAGCACTTGACGGACTTCCAGCTCAACTTGGCTCCATTCTTCCTTATCAGAAATAGGCCCTGCAGCCTCTTTCTTTTCGTGCCGGGGTTCCAGTTGCTTCAATATCAATCGCAAGTTGTCAGGGAGGTCTGTTGCAGCCATTGGCTTCGAATGGGGAGTTGCCAGAATAGCTTTCAGTATGATCTTGAACATATCAGCCATGGCGGTGGCAACCTCCTCAGTTACAATGCTCATGTCGCGATGGAGGTTGATCACAAGTGAATTCAGTCCTGGGCAGGGAACTACTTCACACACTAAGGGAATGTCCATGTCTCCGGAGTCTCCTTCGAGTGTCCAGACATTCTGGTCGATATCTTGTAACGGCTTTTGTAGTAGCAACAGTGTATCAAAGATGTGTTTACCAGTGCGATTGATACTACGCTGTATGAGGCGTAGAGGCGTGAATTGATACGTGAGCAGCTCGGTGTTCAGCATTTGTAAGTGCCGGACCATATCAATGTTGCTTGACATCCCTGGCAAGTCAACTCGAATAGGGATGGTATTGAAGCACGGTGCCACAAGCCTGTCCAGTCCGTCAATATCTAACGTACGGCCGCTCATAACATTCCCAAAGCAGACATCGGATCGTCGGTGGGCCATCGCGAGAACAGTGGCCCAACTTGCTTGACAAACAGAAAGCAGCGTCGTGCCAAAATCGCGGAGACGCCCATGTAGGTCGTTCAAGGGCATATCCAGGGAGGTGGTGCAGGTACTCTGATCAATCTCGCTCGAACTTGACTGAGGGAAAATCGACGATGCCCTATAGTCTCGGAAGTGGTGTTGCCAGAACTCCTCAGTATCCGCCGGTAGATCGGTCGAGATGCCCAGGAACTCCTTGTAAGACACTGGAGGTGGTAGGTTCTCGCCAGACGCCAGTGCCTCTACTTCTTTCAGAAGTCTCTCCATCGCTACGCCATCATAGAGCGCGTGGTGGCATATGAATGACAGGAACTCGGAGCCTCGATATCGGAGAAGACCTAGAGACACAGGCGGAATCCTAGAGTCAACTGGATCAGGCAGAGACTTGAGGTGTTCTTCGATTGCCCCATCGAAGGATGGTTCATTGATATCAAATGTTCTCCAAGGGATTTCCCATTTTTCAATGACAATTTGAGCGATAGCACGTTTAGAGTCTGTCGTTGTAGCGAAACAGGTCCGGAGGATATCATGTCTTTTGAACAATATTTCCCAGTATGATCGAATTGCTTCCGATCCTGCTTTCAGACGTAAGAGAACTTTGTTGTAGTATCCTTTCTGTCCTCGAGAAAGCATGGCTTCCTGTAAAGGCGTGCAAGGTAGAACCGCTTTGATGGTCTTTGACTCCTCCATGAAGAGCTCTTCCATTGAGGTAATAAAAGCGGCCGGGAAGAACTCCTTGACCTTGATGAGGCTTTCGGTCCCTTGGTTTGAAGTCTTCTCTTCCAGGCATCGCGCCAGTTGTGCAATTGTTGGGTTACGTAGAATATCAGACACTGCAACTCGAGCCACCACCTTGGAACTGATAACACGAGCAAGATCAATCGCAGAGATGGAATCTATTCCGAGAAGAGTGAAGGATGTCCATCTTCCGAAGTCTTTCATAGACACTGTTGCAGATTCGGCAATAGCCTCCGCGATAAGCAAGTCCATTCGACTCCAGCCACCTTCATCCGAAGCAGAGCTGGAAGAGCTGGAGATCTTCTCGAGATGATGCCGGTCCAGCGCGTTGAAACAAGCCTGTAGCCGGCGCTTGTCTATCTTTCCGCTGGATGTCATCGGCATTGAAGAAACTGGGATAAGATAGGATGGTACCATGTATCCGGGCAGGCGTGATTGCAGGTGCGCAGCCAGAGAACGTTGCGTTTCATCATCAACCTCTAGCACAAAAGGCTCCGTAGGGCCATGCCGAGGTACAAAGAAAAGAGCCAACTGTTTGGCAGAACCTTCATCACGTTGCACCAAAATGGTGGCAGCTGCGGATGCGAATCCAGCCATGGTAACGGTGCTGTTGATCTCGCCTGTCTCAATTCGCTGACCTCTCAACTTCACTTGATCATCAATACGACCCAATATGACCAACGAACCGTCAGGAAGCATTCGTCCCATATCTCCAGATCTGTAAAGCCTCCCATACTGTGGATGTTGGATAAACTTTTGCTCCGTAAGCTCCGACATATTGAGATAGCCTTGAGCGACTTGGGCACCGCCAAAGCAGAATTCCCCCACCCAGTTGATGGGCACCGTGTCAAGAGTCTCTGGGGATAGAACTACAACAGAGGTATTGGGGAAGACATGTCCTAAATGTTCAATGTGATCATCTGCTGTCATCTTCTTGACTGTGCAGATATTTGTGGTCTCAGAAGGTCCGTAGCCCTGCCACAACTGGCGGTACCATTTCTTGTGCACAGCCTGTGTCATAGGTTCGCCAGCAGTTACAAGAAACTCGACGCTCGGAACGTTTGAAGGGTCAACGAGGGTGGCCACGGTCGGTGTCATGCTGAGGTGCGTAATTCCAAGATCGCGTATTGAACGCTCGATATCCTCCAGAATGATGTCGTTAACGCCTGCGCATAGACACATACCGGCATACCATGTGTAGAATATTTCGAAAACAGACACATCGAACGCTTGAGAGCATGCTTGAAGAAGCCGCCCTTGTGAGCTGGAAGGCTTGGGGTAGGTTGCCTCGAGATGTACGATGTTCGCTACAATGCTCTGCTGTTGGATGGCGACACCTTTAGGAGTTCCTGTCGTTCCAGATGTGTAAATGACGTACGCAAGTCGAAGCCCATTTACTTCGGTACTGAGATTGGCCGTGGAAAGTTCATTAACCAAGTTGATATCAACGGTGAGTATTGATAATCCAGAGACAGATGGTATTTGGTCGCATGAGGCACAATCTACCAGACAATGCTTGATATCAGCTTGTATCAAGATGTCGCGAGTACGGGCCTGAGGTGTTGAGGGCAGAATGGGTAGATAACCACAGCCACACTTGACGATAGCCAAGATTGACGCGTACAGAGTAGGCGACTTTTCCATAACAATGGCGATAACTTGGCCGACATCGATACCGCAGCTTTTTAAATAATGCGCAATCTGATTTGCGCGATCGTTCAGCTCTTGGAATGACCAAGTAGTGTGACTCGTAGCCTCCAGAGAGGAAGCAAAAAGCATCGCGTCCGCGTCAGGACTTCTGCGGACTACATCCTCGAATTGTCGACCTAGATCAGGAACTTCTTGAGGCGGAGTGGCATTGACATTGTCGATAGATGGAATGCAATTTAGATTTCTCAACGTCGATTTGATCTCCTGGGTAGATCCTTCCAAGATTGATAGAGCCAACGCCTCAAATTGATCCGCCAGGTGCTGGACTGTCGTTGGCAATAAAACCGACTCATGATACGTGACTTGTAACGTGAACCCATCCCCTTCTGGCTCGACCTCGAACAGAATGGGCGTTTCCGAGCGGTCAAGATGGCCAGTTTCCTTGACCACGTTGTGAGTACGTTCAGAGCTAGTAAGCGATTCCTGGTAGACAAACAGTATATCGTATAGGCTCTCTGCTGGATGTAAACCAAGTAATTTCTTGATCTCTGACAAGGAGACTGCGCAGTGTTGCATGATCTTTCTGTTGCTGGAGTGTAGGCTATTGAGGAGGTCGAGGACGATAGAAATCTTGTCGAAATCTACTCGGACAGGCAGGGAAGCAATGCAAGGGCCAACGATCTGCTCAATGCCTGTCACCGGAATAGTCCTTCCAGATGTCACCGAACCGATCGTGATATCGCGAGCCCCGGTGACACTCATCCATAACAGAGCCAGTGATGCCTGAAACAGAACTTGAGGGCTAAACCCATTCTTCTGGGCCTCGCCATTAACCCTGTTGCGAGGGAGTGACATAGGCCTTCGATACGACAGGATTTCGCATGAGTAAACAAACTTTTCACGTAACTTGGGGAGTGGTGTTTGTTTCCATCCAGTAAGGTGCTCGGTCCAAAACACTCGTGCAGCATCATCTGTCTGCAGAGTATGGTAAAAGTCAATGACCTCCCGAAATGGTGGATGTTCTGGTACCAATTCTTGCAACAGCAGTCTTGACCAATCAGAAAGGAGGACATCCATAGACCAACCATCATATAGTGAGTGATGTATCTGTAAAAAGACACGGCAATCTCCATCTGTGGCATCTCCATGGATCTGAAGTGACATGGGAGAACAAAACTCCTGGGGTGATGAAAGTGTGAGGTCAGTTTTTATCTGATCAACAATTCTTATTTGCTCAGGGCGGAGTTTCTTGTACAACACCGTGACAAATCGCCCATCTGCAACCACGAATCCTGAGCGTAGAATTGGATTTCTCTGCGACAGTTCAGTGAACGTTTCACGTATCTGATCAACAGAGTAGCTCTTGGGGATACTGAGCTCCACCTGGTTGCAGTAGGCAGTTGGGTTCTGGGATGTTTCAGCCAGCATAGCCGCCTGCAACGGGGTACATGGTACCACATCTTCGACCAAGTCACTCATATGGGCCAAGGTGGCGTTTTGCTGCAGAAGCCGGTCGAGGTCTAATGAGAGGGTCATATCAACTGGTTGTGAGCTGACAGTTTGATTTTGCACTTGCCTCCTGGCAGAGAATACAATATCGAACATGGTTTTTGCCTTCAGCAAGATAGTCGTATCAATAGCAAAACCTGAATTTCGAAGGCTAGAGGCAAGCTTGATTGCACTGAGAGAATCCATCCCAGCGGCGCTGATAGGGGTGGACTTGTTGACTTTGAAATTCATAACACGAGACACGATTTCCAAAATCTCTGACTCGAACTCATCCACAGGTTCCGAGTCCCAGGTGACTTCTGAAATTGCTTCTTTGTGTTCCTCATATTCAGTCTTGAGCTTTTTTCTGTCGACTTTTCCACTGGGTAGTCGGGGAAATTCAGACATCAAAACCACTTCTCCAGGAACCATGTACTGTGGTAGCCAGTCTGCACAATGCTTTAGAACAGCATCTTCAGTGACTCCGGCATCCACGGCGCAGAACACCACCAGGATTGATCTCACTACCGCTGCGACAGCACTGTGGCATCCCGATGTTCGAAGGACAGCTTGTTCCACCTCTCCAAGTTCTAACCGTTGTCCTCGAAGCTTAACTTGACCGTCTGATAGTCGACCGAAACATTCAAGCTTGCCGTTTGGAAGTAGCCTGGCCTTGTCACCTGTACGATAAATACGGCCAAATGGTGAGTCAACAAAGACCGAGTTTGTTTGTTCAGGTCGGTTGATATAGCCAGTCGCTAACTGATAACCACCCACGGCAAGCTCTCCAACCTCCCCTTGTGGAAGAATTCTTATCTCGGATTGTTCAGTATCCAATTCCGGAATTGCAATGATAAAACATGAGACGGTGTCAAGTGGCACACCAATGTTTCCCGTCGAAGAATCAGAAGAAAAGGCCGTTTGGAGGGTACTTTGAGCAGGTTAGCACTGAACATCGGCTAGAATATTTCAACCTACCAGTGAATAGTTGCTTCAGTTGGACCGTACATTGCCCAGAGCATGCTTGGTCTGTTCTCGTCGCCTCCAAACTCCTCCACGACTGGTGCGTTGAGCATTTCTCCAATAGTTAGAAGTACTTTGAGGTCCGGTGCGTTTTCCCTCTTTCGCAACAGACTCCCAGCGACTGTTGGCGTGAGCTCGCAAGCATCTACCTGCATAGTACGGAGCACTCCAGGAAGATCGTCCAACATCTCTACTCTTCGGACGCTGACTAGAGTTGCACCCCTGATCAATGGAAAGAAAATTTCAAAAACAGAGACATCAAATGTTGGTGCTGCGAACTGCAGAAAGCGCGAGAACGGGGGTATGTGTCTATCATGGGCAATAAGAGCCTGTGTAGCAGCATCATGTGAAATTCCCACACCTTTCGGTGTTCCTGTTGATCCCGACGTGTACATGACATATGCCAGGTCTTCCGGCTTGGGAATTCGAAGGTTTGTTCCAGTTGGCGTCGGAGGGCTACTTTGGTTTCCATCCTCGTCAACTATGATTACAGTTGCACTGATATCATTAGGTATCTCAGATGCAAGCTCTCTTGATACCAGCACCACTGTTGCGGCTACATCGCCAAGAATGAATTTCACTCGCTCCGGCGGTGCATCAACGTTCAAGGGGCAGAAGGCTCCTCCAGCTTTCAGAATGGCTAGGAGGGAGATATAGAGGGAAGGGGACTGGTGAATGAGAACAGGAACAACAAACTGCCCATTCACACTGCCCGAAACGTTGGTTATGCGAATGGCGAGGGATGCTGCAGCTTCATGCAGCTGATCATATGTGAAATTCGAACGCTCATTGTTTCCCATGTAATCCAGGGCAGCTTGTTGACCAGAAGGGTTAACCAGCTCGTGTAAGAGGTTTGGCCCAGGCTGTCTAGATGCCTGGGCGTTGATGATTGAGAGCCCGGTGAGCTCCATTGTTTCTTTAGCCCGTCAGCTTGTTGGCGAACTGAAAATTGAGTTAATTACAACGATGATGCTTTCAAACGAAGAGGACGATAGTGCTAGTAGTGATAGCAGTGATGGAGGGTGGTTGCGGGTAACCAACGGCGCCAGTAATAATCAACGCCAACGGTAGCGGTAATGTTGGAGGTGTGTGCATGCAGTAGATATGGCCCTTTTAGGGAATATTTTGGTCAGCCAGAAGCTTCATCCTGGCGCATGAATCACAGGCAAACTGCTAGTAGCGAAAATAGAGTGGACTTACATCAGGCTGCTTTGATCACTCAACGACCACGCGGAGCCAAGACTCGGGATGAGTGGGCTTCAGCCGGGGTACAAAACAGACAAGCTGCGAATTGGAATTGAGGCAAAGAAACGACCGCAAGCTGTATTAGAATCGGCGTCACAATGATTCGCCAAAGCAAAGCTCAAGGCGTGGCAGGTAAAATGGTTGTTCGAGGGGGGCGTGTGGATGATGGGATAATCCAGCCTGTCAGCGTCGATTAATTACTCATCGACTCGCGAGAGTAGCAGGGACAAGCAAAACCCGGCTATAATAGTGTTCTGCATGTGCATGGTTAGTAGCCATGACAAGATGAAAGGAGGGGCTGGTAAGGCATGTACCCGGTCCAAGTGAGATAAAAGTCAAGACCCTGACTTGATGTTGTTGATGTGGCGTCGCGTTTGAATGGTACAAGTGAAGTGGTGTGAGCCGATATCACGACTTCTGTTTCCGTATGGTGGACCTCTTTGCCGTTAGGAACACAATGGAATACCTTATTAGGCTTATGCTAAAATTGTAGGGTGCTGGTACTGTTCCAGGGTACGTACGGCGTGGGTACGCGGGTTCTTTCACTGACAATACGACTGACGTCTGGTGTCAAATGAGCAGAGCTGCTCGATGGATTGCGTCACGACTTGGTCCCCATCTACTTGGGCCTCAAAATATGACGAACTCACTTGAACGCTGGCTTCTTCGGTCCATTCAAATCTTGTTCGAACCTGGACCCAACAGTGCAGAACAGATCACGAAGAGTGATTTTTCTCACCACCTGCTGGGAAGCGCATATGATGGGCTTATAAAAATTCGTGATTCCGTATTGGGTAGCTCGCTTGATCACACTGGACGTTAGATCGACGAACCAACCCCGACAAGGGAAAGGCTGGTTCCTCTTGGCACTCCAAGAGGCTCAGTGGAGGGTTCCAAGAACGTAATGTACCTGACAGGCCGTTGGGTAGAAACGCTCACGGCGGCTATTGAAATAAAAACAGTTGTAGGATTGAGGCTGAGGTCAGAAACGAAGCAACGCTGGTTGCATGGCAAGCAACTGCACTCGAAGATCATCTTCAAGTCCCAGCACCCGGTTGGTTTGGTAATTGACATTGAAGTTGCTTCTGGTTATGCAGGCGACGGATCCTCAACGGGTCGCCCCGAGATAAAGGGAGCCCCATTTCTGACAAATAACTTTCGCTTGCGACATCCGTCGAAGTCACATCTGCTTGGCCGGTGCGCTCGTCTGTCTGTAACAGAAACAACTCCGTTACCATCCTATATCAGACACGGACCATCGCCCACAGGAACCTTGCCGATGTTCCGGCGAATATAAGTCCGTATGGTGCTGGGGTCGAGTCATAGAAGAGAAGAGCCAGAATGAATTGGGTTACGAGATGGATGCCATACATAGATGGGAAGGTGCGGTGGGGATAGAGAATATGCGTGGGATGATATTGAGTAAGAAACTAGGTAGGTATGTATGACAGTGTGATATATACCATTGATGAGTGTACGAGATGGCGGATGAGACGGAGATGACAATACAACAAGGTCAAGAGAGATATGCTCGACATGGGGCTTGTGCAAAAAGAACGAAAGAGAGTGTATCGAATGGTACAAGGGCTGCGTCGAGAAGACGTTTCATGCTCGTTTGCCTACCTTGTCTACGAAGCATGAAGCGTATCAATAGGACATATCAAATGAACAGAATGTGTGACGGTTGATTAGAGGGGCATTGGGGTAGGTATCGGCACGGCAGCAGAAAGGGTTGAACCATCCCTCAATTGTTGAAGTGATGGTGCCTTGGGGTGATAGTAGAGACGGCGGATGACAAGGACGTTGTTCAAGAATAAGAGAAACCTCCAGACTCATCAACGGAAAGACCCATACTTGGTCGGCGCAGTCTCGGATGCCCGAGCGAACACGGTTCGGATCGGTGATGCATTCGATGGCAAGGTAGCAGGATTGAGTACCTGCTAAGGTAGGCGAACAAGACGAGCTTTGGGTTCGGTCACGAAAAAGAGACGAGAGTTGGTCTGTCGTTCATTCTGTGGCTGATACAACAGCGACGCCGTTAGGGAGCGGTTAAGTCAAATTGTGCGGCGTCAGCGGCTGGCGCCGAAGGTACCGGTACTGCAGACACATCAATCGCATCACATGCAGTAAAGATTTATCGACACCGATGCGAGGACGGACAAAAAGACAAGCAAAGCAATATCCAGTCAAGGTTTAAGACGTTGGACGATATTGAAAGCCGCGATGAAGCGGTGATGGAGTGATGAGTGGAAATTTGGCCCTGGCCCTTGCCTTGCCTTGGACCTTGAACCGTGGATGATGCAAGGAGTGAGTGGGGAAGTGGGAAGGAGGTGTGGGCCGAGTTCCCATAGGTAGGTACGTGGAAGTGGAAGGTGCATGCGTTCATCGGCCATTAGGTTCCTACCCTGTTGTCAGTACCAATTAATTCTTAGCTGTCAGCTCTTACAGAGAGGCATCTTGACGGAGCTGTCTAAGGTATAGTGTTGAAGGAGAATAGAATATACTCTAGGTTTTACTTTATCATCTGCTGTGGCTCTTGAATTAATTCATGTCGGCTCGACTGTGATGCTGTTGAGCACACCAGAAAAACGCCGGTGCATTGTTGATCACAGCACTTCAATGCTTGCAGCGGCCGACTTGCTGATCTTGGACTTGATCTAATCAGATAACCTAATCGTATGGCGCCTTCAAATAAGCGTGAACCTGTCTTGCATGGTACCCACGTCAGTCATAACCAAAGTTTTCCGATGCAATTAATGCGGTATCAATCACATGAACCTTGTCAATAAATGCTCAGCAAGTATGGTCGTTATGCAATAACTTCTAGAAACTCTCTTCATTCAGCCACCCACAACTTTGCCGGTGCATGTCTCAATTCACTCCAAATGACGTATGTGTATAGCATTTGCTGTAATATAGCCAAGAGTCTATACTGTCTGCTTTCTTCAACTCTGCATTGATCTGGATACAAAGTCGCCTCCCAATACGGAAGTAGCTTGATTCAAGATTTGAACACCCCAAGCATATAAATTCACATTTATGACAAGTCTGGGCTTCGGGAACCTGAATCAGTCCGCTATACTTTCGTCTACAAAAAGTCTCTGCTACTTCGCCTCTAACCTGCATGCTGAAGAATGTGAAGCGACTTTGGTCCCTGACTGTGGCTTACGGCTCTGTGTCAATGAAATACCGGGGTCCAGACAAGCTACTGTAGGCACTGCTTTAGTCCACAGCGGCAGGATCATAAGAGGATAGGCAGGACAGCAGAAGATTACTGAACCAACAGCAGATGCCCAGTGCCGGAGTGTTGGTAAGGTCCAGATGTTCTAGATCACAAAATGCGCCTGTCCCGAAACAAGGGTTCAGCATATTAGAGAACAGAACAAAAGACATCAACATCAGATATCAGGACACTACGTAGGAATATCTTACGGTTTCGTCGATCCCATCGTGCCATACCACGGGGATTTCCAGAGTTACATAGTATGTCGTCCCATCAATGCATGTCTTATGCATAAGTTGATGGGTTTTTTTCCATTGCAACACAATGAATACGCCATCTCGACCGGGGTTGCTGTACTTGATGCTTGACACACCGTTATCGGTCTCAGAATGTCTTAGCAGAGATTTACAATCTAATCAATCAATGGGGCAGCTTCAGCGAAACCGCCGTCCGCTAGATCGTACGTAGTACGTACAGTACTGCAGCTGCAAGCTCAGCTCTGCACATCTTATCGATCAATGGCAAATTGGGGCTGAAGGCTAACTTAGTGCTTGTGCCTGTAACGGGTCAAGCCTGGATCCTAACTGAAGAGGGATAATTCAATTCACGAGCGAAGAAAATTTTTCATTGAGACTCCCAATTCTGCCCTCTCACATCGTTTATTTGATCGGTACCTGGCCCCAAAGAGTAAAAGCATGGCAATTCCATCCAATACAACCTCTTGCAAGGGACTTAGCCTATGCACCAGGGGCCAGTACCTAGTAAAATGACGGGCCCCTGGGGATCGGGAGCCAGTCAAGTTGAGGCTGGTGCACAGCGCTACTGTGACTTGGCTAATTAGATCTTATCAGATCCGGTTTATCAGATCATCAGATAATTCCCTCATCTCCACACTGGAGCATCTTAGTCTTCAGAATCCGCTCCAACTTGTTAATTCTCCAATCAACAAGACATTTCAATCTCTCGTATGCGGGACTGGCCCCTCATCTTCCTCCAACGGCATTGCAAAAACTCGAGTGATCGGCTTTTGTGGCATCCATGATCCATGTATATGCCGTCCAAGCCGTTCTTCGCCGCCCTCGTTGCTTGTCAGATTTTTCTTCTTCTTTCTTGTTTCAGGGATTGACGTCGTGTCGTATCGACCGGTGTGAAGTTTCACGCAGAAACTAAAAGTATAGGCAGGCCCTGCAGAAAGCCGTCATCGGCCCAAAATGTCTGGGTTCGGGCCCTTTGCCACGCCATGTCATGTCCACTTGTACTCCCACGCTCACGATCCAGCGGAACAATTCTACGTAGCGCCTTCAGGGTCTGCATCGGCCCAGTAAAGCAGCCAGTAACTTGCCCTGTCAACGAGTCTTCTCTTCAGTGCCTCCGGCAGTCCTGTAAGACCCTCCTCAACTGTGGTCCTAGTCCTATGCGCGGGAGTGGCCAGGTCTAGAGAGTTCGCCAAGCCCGCCCCTCGACGTTTGTAACGTCAATCTTATCTGATCCTTTTTCTCAAGATCATCACCGACGTCGCATCGTTTTCGTCCAAGTCCACGCTTCTTTACTGGGGATCCTTGGTTAGTTCTGCATTGTATCCGAGAAGAAACCTCCACCCGCTCCGACCATCAAAACTCCGCTTGTGCAGACATCTGAAGGGAAACACCGGAATCGACGTGGCCAGACGAGAGTTATTCATTGGTATGGATACGTATGTCGAGCTGTGGTTGATGTTTTGTGCTGTCGTATGTATGAGTTTGGTGTACAATAGACCTGGGCTTGACTCGATGTCAGATAACTTGAACGGCACGACACACACTCTTTGCTTAAAGATGTCAGCGTACATAGATCGCCATGCACGAAAGGCGCCTTACATATTAAATTCGTCCATATAGGTAGACGATAGGCATCTGTCTAAGATCATCGCATGCAAACTTTAACCAAATTTACGAGTTCTTGTCAAGCTGATCGGTCCCAAAAAGAGCATCTTCTTGTCGGAGTTGGTCCCGGCGTAAGGTCTGATTCTCTGGCCATTCGATGCCCATCGTTGCCTTATTGAAGGCTGAGTGCCGGTCCTAAGTCGTAACTAACGCACGCCGCCACGCATCCCTGGAGCATTCCGAGTTGCTCCAGGGGCTTGCAACGGTTGAGTTGGCGCTGGAAAGTGATTGTCGGACCCGCATCCTAGAGTGGTGATTGATGCTGTTCGGAGATGATCGTGCTGTTGCAGGTGCGTTCACAGGTGGACTGGAAGTTCACCCTCACCCTCACCCTCGCGCTACGGGACTTCACGGCGTCGAGTCGATGAGGTTCCACGAGGAGGGTCCACGAGGTATGCCGCGGCCATGGACGTGGAGGAACCACTTCAGAGACATTTTCCTTCCATTTGCATTCCCTTGCAGCCTGATGATCGGGCCAAGCCGATGCTTCCAAGCATCGTACCGACGACTGTCGGCTAGAAAGAAACTGTTGAGACAGCAATGGATCTATATGAAGGAACTGTAAGCTATCCTGTATTTGTCCAGTGCTATAAATTGGTCCGTGATCAAGGCATTCTCCCACAATACGGAAGAAAGACAAGATCGGAATCCACTTGAAGAAAAGCAACAATGAATTCGAAACATACGAAGATGATACAATACCATGCAGTAACTTAGAAGCTGCCCAAAAAGGCCTGCAGGACCCCTCCAAGCTAGAGCTCGAAAAAGATGGTGTTTTTTTCTGGTCCCGTCTGGTTTAGGTGGTTTCTGGATAAAGACGCACCCCTCCTCTAGCCCACCCAATTCCCGATCCCACCCTGGACATAGCTCCATGTTTTAGTGCACTAAATTACCTCTAGGCTGCACGCTACCTACAAGCAGGGCCGGCAGGGCCTGGGCTCTCGCTTTTGGGGGCTTGCAGCTTGCAATGCAGGTTGGGCGTGGTTTCACAAGCTCTTAACTCGACTTGACTGACGTTTTCTGAATGAATTCCGTCACCATTTCTATTCTTTGCTTCCTTTCTTCCGTTGTGGTCCAATCCTTTGCTTGGCAACCGCGGCTCCACGGTCCAGGATTACCCTTAGTAGTATGACCATGACCATACCATGGCCGGCACTGAGAAGTTGACTCTTCTGTAGTGGGCTAGTTGCGTGCTTTTAGGTACATACAGCACGTAGTGTCCCCATCATGGATGCAGTGGTTTCCATGTATCATGTATCATGTCTCCATGGCAAATGTACTGTACCTCCCCGAGTCCCATCTGGCCCTGTCATGTACAAGCTTGACATGGTTGTATTAGCCATGGGGAACTTTGATGCTGAACTAGGTACCTACTAACTGTACTCGTATCCGCCTCTTCCCTCTCATGTAATGGAAAGTACCTCTAGTCCACGGTAGAGGAGCTTTGCCTGCTATGCATAGCTGCTTTCTTGCTTCTTTCCTGAGGGTCCATCATCTGGTTATAGTTTGACCCCAAGCAAGAGAATTGGACCGAATCAATGGGCAGCTTGTAGATCGGATCCCTCCCCAAAACTACAAAATACCCATATCTCCCCCCATCTCTCGGAACCATCCCGTTCCTTCATTCTTCCTGTTCTTTATGTAAACCTGTTTGTTGCTACTCGGGCTCGGCTGATACCTACTTGACTCTCTAAAAGCGCATATTATACCCCAAGTTCCAGTCAAGGCTTCAACCACCATAAACACATAGTGTGTTAGCCTCACACTTTATAACTTATATATACCCACCACAACAAAACTCAGCCATCATGAGTCCCCATAGCGAGGTTTCTTTCTCAGGCTCGGATGCCCCAGTATCCAATGGTGCCAGCAACGGTACCAACGGACATTACAACGGCCACTCCAACGGCGCAAACGGTATCAGCAACGGCGACGAGGCTCCTCGAGCTGTTCGTCATGGACCTCGCGTTCACAAGGAACGCTCACCTTATCTGGAGTCAGCTCCCGCAAACTCTGAGTTCGATCTTATCTGCGCCGGATTTGGACCTGCTTCTCTTGCTGTTGCCGTTGCTATGCACGATGCTATCGCTGAGGGCAGAAAGCTCCGTCCTGATGGCGCAGCTCCCAAGGTTCTTTTCCTCGAGAAGCAGCCCAAGTTCGCTTGGCACGCCGGCATGCTTCTCCCTGGAGCCAAGATGCAAATCTCCTTCATCAAGGACATGGCTACTCTCCGCAATCCTCGATCTGAGTTCACTTTCCTCAACTACCTCCACAGCCAGGGTCGTCTAGTCGACTTCACCAACCTGAGCACTTTCCTGCCTGCCCGTACTGAGTACGAAGACTATCTTCGCTGGTGTTCTTCCTGGTTCGATCATGTGGTCGCCTACAGCAACGAGGTTGTTTCCATCTCGCCCGAGAGCAAGGAGGCTGGTGCCGTCAAGACCTTTGCCGTCCAAGCCCGCAATGGCAAGACTGGCCAGGTCCAATCTTACCGCAGCCGACATGTTCTCGTTGCTGCTGGTGGCCAGCCCTCGCTGCCCAAGAGCCTTCCCGCAAAGCACCCTCGTGTTCTGCACTCTTCCCAGTTCGCCAGCTACGCCCCCCAAATCCTCTCAAAGCAGAACGCTCCTTACCGAGTTGCTGTCATTGGTGCCGGTCAGAGTGCTGCCGAGATCTTCAACAATGTCCAGAACCTGTACCCCAACTCCAAGACCTACCTCATCATGCGCCAGGAGTTCCTCCGCCCCAGCGACGACTCTCCCTTGTAAGTTATACGTACGTGTACCTAGAGTTGAACTCATTGCTAACTATGACGCACAGCGTTAACTCCATCTTCAACCCTGAGTACATTGACACCCTGTGGCCACGATCTGTCAAGGCTCGCGAGACTCTCCTGACCGAGGCTCGCGCTACTAACTACGGTGTCGTCCGCCTGGAACTGATTGAGCACCTTTTCGAGAAGATGTACGACCAGAAGCGCGAGATTAGCGACGATGAGACCCTTTGGCCCCATAGAATCCTTTCGGGACGCGAGATTGCCAGCGTCGACACCAAGGGCGATGCCCTCGAGATCAAGGTTCAGCGCGTTAACGAGGGTCCTCTCGACGGCTTCGTCGACCAAGAGACTTTCGATGTTGACTTGATCGTCGCTGCTACCGGTTACAAGCGAAGCGCGCACGTCGACATGCTCAAGGACGCCTGGACAATGCTCCCCAAGACAGTGTCGGGACGCAACGAGTCTCCCAAGGGAGTTAACGGCTGGAACGTTGAGACACAGGATGGTGAGCGCAAGTTGGCAGTCGGAAGAGATTACCAAGTCAAGTTCTCTCCTGGTACAGTTGCCCAAGACTCTGGTGTTTGGCTGCAGGGTTGCTGTGAGGGTACTCACGGAGTAAGTGATGCATTGATTATCAGTACTAGGAGATCCATGCTAACAAGTTTCTAGCTGAGCGACACACTTCTCTCTGTTCTGAGCACACGTTCGGGCGAGATCGTCCAGTCTATTTTCAAGCAATAAATTGCCACGACAGCATGAATGAATGGAATGTTTACTCGAGTGTAATGGGTTAGCATGGACAGCGAAAATGGTCGGTTGGACTCGAAAAAGTAGTTCCCCGGCTTGAATCTTTTTTTTATATCCTCTTTTCTTTTTTATTTGTTGTCGGATTTATCATTACAGTACATTATCATCAAAAGGTGGAACAGGTTTTTATGGTGTTTTTGTAGATATTATTAGAACCACATATCATTGCATTAAGAAATATCCGTCCATGGCTCTTGAATCTTAGTCTCTACGCTCCCGGAACGTTTTGTCCCGAGTCATTGTTTATCATAAATATATAAATATCTCAGTGTTGGTAATATAGAGTCAGGTGCATATCACCCATTAGTTTGGCATTCCATGATCCAGCATCTTTTGGATCCTGGATCTACATAATGTCCCTTCGAGTAATTGTCGCCGTGATATCATACAAAGCTTTGGATATGACTTCATAACCATGGTCTGTCCTGCACCAAGTGTTGTTATTGACCTTTAAGCGCAGTATCTCCGCTACACCAAACGGGTAAGCCTCTGGAATTGGCAATACCGATGAGAATCTTTCTGATGGGCATGACATCTTTCGGCAGGCAGAGAGCAGAGAGATGTTATCAGTATCAAGTTCGGTCCATGTCGAACCTTGGTGTTGAGCCATTATACCCTTTCCTGGATGATCAGGGACCCGACTCAAGACACAGCCAACTTGCTTCCCATGTCAAGTATCCATTCGTATTTCGGACAATGAATTGCCATATTGAGATTGATGCAGAAAAATGTCAGAACGAAAAACGTTGCTTGAGTAAGCAGAGCCCTTCATGTCTCAAATAATGACATTGGAAAAGCTGACAAGGTTGCAATCCCCTGTCAAAACGACGTTATCCGTCTGATTCCATGCGGGTATTGATTGGCGTCTTGCCTCGGTTCGCTTCTGGCGTCAAACCTAACCAAACCTCTTGGGATCCATGTGTCTGTGTCAGGTCGACTGTGCATCGGTGATAGCATTAACTCAACGAGATCTGCAGCACTTGAATACGGATAAGCCGGTCAAACTTTTGCTTCTGAGCACGATCAAGACTCAGAGTTTAGGTACATATAGCGAATGGACAGTCAGAAGTAGTGGAGAGGAAAGGTTAGACAAGGCAAGGAGAGGGTTATCTTGACCGTGCCGCAAGCGAAACGAACCATTTCCAGTTGAAGGCTTCTCTTTTTTTCTCCCTTCCTCTTTCTATCTTTGGTCATGGTGAGTTTCCCCATAAATGATTGACCGGTTTCCTATTTCGATTTTTCTTATGTCCGCACCAACAAAAAAGAGCAGTCACGACCAAGATCTCGGTTCGTGTTTCTGTGCGTTAAAAGTCCAGTAAGGAAGGAAAGACCCGACAGAAAGTGATGGGAGTGGGGGACCACCACCTAAACTAAAACTACAGCGGTTGGGTAAATCCTGTACCTTTTTGAGAAGAGAGCGGAGCGGAGTTTTTGGCCCCTAACTATCCTTCACTTAGCTGCTGGTAGGAACCTGAAATCAAGTCAACTGAGCACAATTGAACAGGGGCTGACTGGCTCACAGTCAATGGAAGCATACGACGAATGTTCTGTTTTCCTCTTGGAAAATCAACCTTACCTAGCCCAGCACAGCACAGAGCGAGCCGACCCGACTGCCTAAGCCATGAAGACCGACTCTGAGGAAACTGGAGTACAGTCGTCTTCGGCTACCTCTACTCCTGCTCCTCCAACATCAGCCACAGCTACAGCTACAGCCACTCCTTCTTCTGCTTCTACTCCACGAAGGCTTCCTGTTAATCCCCGACGACACAAGGTCGCTCCCGAGCATCGTAAGCGTGTCGCCACAGCGTAAGTTGTCTTTTTGGTTACTTGACTATTCTGTATCTCCTCTTTTACGCGGTGGATGACATTTTGATATATGATATACCCTCTAAAAGGGTTGTCCATCCACTGTTGCGCACCATCTACCTACCTACTACCTATCTATCTCTTCAATCAATATCTTCTCATCTTCTCATCTACTCAAATCTCGATACACGTGTCCAAGAGAACATTGACTCGGTCTAACAAATGTCTTCGCTTAAAGGTGTAATGCTTGCAACGTGAGAAGAGTCAGATGCTCTGGCGAGCACCCGTGTCGGCAATGTCGGTCATCTTCACGCGACTGCGTATACCCTCTTCCTGTTGAGAAAGTTACTGTTACACGTACAGAGATCCAAGAGTTGAAACACAAGGTCGACCTCTATGAGCGGGTTCTTCGGGATACTGTACCCGCAGCTATCTCCAACGCGGTTACTGATGCCGCCAGCCGCCAAGAGCTATCCGTATTGCTTGGCTGGACGGCCTCTGAGTCTGGTCACAATGGATCTCGTGTTGGATCAACAGCTCATACAACACCATCATTAGATGGCCATGCACATATCGTGAGAGGCCCCTCCGAGCTCCCCCAATTCCAATACCCCAGCATTCCTCGCCAGTTTCAGCAAATCTCGCATTCCCAATCTCAGATTCCGTATCCGGATGCGCGAATCCAAGATATTAGCCTCGGACTATCACGGCCACATCCTCCCCAACTATCGCATTCTATATCGACTCACCACCAGAGACAAGATGACGATGAGAACCTGGCATCAACCGAGGGCCGACTGCTGCATGATCCCGATGGCCATGCTCGTTTTCTCGGCGAGACGAGCGGTGCAACTTTTCTCGATAACTTGAAAGAGTTCATGACCACGGTTCTCCCTCTTGCCTACCAAAATCTTCGTCCAGGCTCAGATGGTAGTGCGTTCCTGTCGAGTCTTGGTAGCTATCAGACATACGACTCTCGTCCTCTAAATAATCGCGATATCGATCCCGCATGGTTCCCCTCTTACCCCGAGATGGACTCGATGCTTTCTGAGCTACGATACTTCATTCAAGACGGGAACGGCAACTGGCCAAGCGGAGGTATTCATTGGTGGGGGAATCTACACACAACGCCCACAATTCCCCTACTAGAGCGAGATTCACAAATGGTCCGGTTGACCAAATGTCGCCCTCTGGCTCTCTATCAGACCGCGTTTGCTGTCGTCTCGCAGGCTACACTGATGCCACCGCTGGACATTTCTATAGACTCTAATCTCAGCGAGAACTATTACAGCAGGGCGCGTATGCTCCTGGGGAACCCTCTTGACATCACGCGCTTTACGCCGAATGAGGTTGCAGCGTTGACTCTGATGGGCTTCTACTTGATCGAGATGAATCGTCGCGATGCTGCGTATATGTGTGTGAGTAGCGCCATGCATATCAGCATCATGCACGGTTCTCATAGAGGCTGGCTTGACGAAAGTGGCAAGCGAGTTTTCTGGACGTTATATGTACTGGATCGTTATCTGAGCTGTCTGATGGGAAGACCCCCAACCATTATGGATGATGCCATCCGTTTAGAACCACCTTGTGATGCTCCGTATGTTTACGCCTCTGTCCCTGATCGCTGCTTTAGCTAACATTGTGCTACAGATCCATGCCCCCAGCCGACGGTCTCAAGGCACACGTTGAGCTTTCACGGATCTCGAATCATATCGTGTGTAACACATATCGCATATCCCCTTCGAAAGATGTTGTTAGGCCCATAAGAAGTCTTGAAGGAGAAATAAGCATGCTTGATTCTTGGAGTCTAAACCTTCCGCCCTCCTTACGACTGTCAAGTAACGGACTGAGCGATGATCCAGCAACCTGCTTACTGCACATGTACTACAATCAGGTATGTTGTTTACTCATGTCTACTATCTCAGCACCTAACTTTGTTTTGCAGCTCATTATCTTGACTATACGCCCCGTCTTCTTCGCTCTAGTCAAAAAGTCGTTCGCAGAAAAGCTTGTCTCTCGCCAATGCTCATTGAGCACGCATCCCCAACTTCCTCACCTCAAGCGGTGCATTGCCTCGGCAGAACACAACATTCGGTTGGCACGCCAGATCTTACTTGTCAACCACCCCCGAAAACTCCTCCAGGCCGGCCTTCATTTCATCTTCAACGCGGCTATTGTCTTGATGCTGCAGCAGTTGGTAGAGGATTTGTGTCCATCATCCAGAACCGAGAAGGCTCGGGCACTCGATCTCGACTTTGTGATTGCCAGATTCGAGGATGAGAGTCGTGTGGGCAGCAACTATGGCCGAGATTGTGCTACAGTTCTTCGAGATCTTCGCGTCCTTGTGCAACGACTTCCTATACCTGTTGATATCAACACAGCGACACGCTCTATGAACATGAATCAAACTTCAACAACCTACGATCCAATCGCGAATCGTACAACGGTGGATATGGGACAATCGTGGCCGGACAAGTTGGCCTCGGAGGCATTGCAGCAGCCAATTCTTGTTGATCAAGGACATATGTTATACAATGAGTTGGTGTCGTGGATCGACGTTGACTGGCAGTCCTATAATGGGTATCTCATTTAGATATATATCATATAAAATATTAATGAATAATAAGATTGACACCGGTAAAGTCCTCTTGGTAGGTTTTACAGATCTGCCTATCGATCGAATTACTCGCATAGGGGAGTATCGTGGTGCTTTGACTCCTGACGATCGAGAGGCATCCAGTCGAGGTTCTCCGATTGCGGGAAACTTTACGGATTACGCCTTCCCAGACATCCATGTTTCGCACGCGCAAATTTAGAAAGTTGTACAGAAAATTTGAAAATGCAAGAGCAGAACAAAAATATGCTTGGCAAGTCAGTCCTCGCTCTTCCCATTGTCATGTAAGAAGTAATTAAGAGGAAGGTGACGTCTGAGAGTCATGTGATGAAGTGGGTGACTCTTGCAACCGTCGTATCCATGGAATGTCTCACTCGTAATCTCGCTATTCCTTCCATTATCTCTGCCTGTCAAATAACTTTGATACCAAGTGAACTTTGCCTCTAGTCATCATCGCTCGTGTTGACTGTCGCAAATCATTACCGCAAATGGCACCTCTCGAGCGCCGAGCCGTCGCGACATGCTTCATCTTCAAATTCCCATCCGATGACATAGCACAGAAGCCAAAGGTTGCTCTCTTCCGCCGGAGTGGTAACGTAAGAACATATCAGTAATCCTTGCCCCATCATATTCCTGTCAGATGGTTGTAATTTGTGCTTACATACTGTACCCAGACACAAATATGCAGGCATCTCTGGCAGTGTAGAGGAATCCGATGCGGATCCACTTTACACAGCCTGGAGAGAACTAGAGGAAGAGACAACTCTCACAAAGGATTCTTTGCATCTGTTTCGAAGAGGGAAGCCCTTCTCATTTGTTGATGACTCAATTGGAAGAGAATGGACAGTCAATCCTTTTGCCTTCATTCTCAAATCAGAGAAGGAGGGTGGTCAAGGCGAAGCTGGTATCAGAATAGACTGGGAGCATGAAGGTTATGAATGGTTCGATCCAGATACCGTCAACGACTCAGATGACTTCGGGGGTGTTCCGCGGATTCTTGAAAGCTTCCGAAGGGTGTGGTTCAATATTGATCTGGGCGATGCGGCTGGCAACACCCTTGCCACATGCTTGATGGCTTTGCAGAACGATCACGAGAGCGGAGCTCGCCAGCTTGCTTCCAAGGCTCTCGACACATACATTGATGTGGTCAGGACGATCGACATCTCAGATCAAGACCAGTGGTGGAGGAACGTCAGGTTCGCCGGATGGCATCTATGGAAGAATGGACGGGAAAGCATGGGTGCATCAGTTTTGAACACTGTTCTGTCGAGTCTGGGCATAATTGAAGGCAGTATCATGTCCGGTGATTCGCTGAACAAGGGTTTGATTGAAAAGATCATCGAGACCCTCAACAAATACGCTTACGACCGACAGGCTACCAGTTCAAGAACTGGAGCTTCGTTTCAAGCCTTCCTGGAACGCCATCTAGAAGGAGATAGGCCAATCAAGATTCTTACGCTTTCTTGCAGCTCTACCATCACATCGGCCATCACTCACGTTCGCGGGAAGGGCTCGTGGCCCATTCATGTCCATGTGCTCGAGTCTCGACCACTTTTCGAAGGTGTCAAAATGGCTCAAGCAATTACTTCTTTTGCTAGTGAAAGCAGAACAAAGCTCGAGGTAACAGTCCACACTGATGCGAGTGTCGGTGTTGCGGCGAGAGGTATTGATATCGTGCTAATCGGGGCGGATCTAATCGACGGAACAGCCGCAGTTAGCAATAAGGTCGGTTCACTACCCACCATCTTGACAGCCAAGTACGCTGCCCCGCAAGCGAAAATTGTCGTTCTTTCTGAGAAAGAGAAGGTGTTGCCATTTCCGCCCCCAGAACAGGAGGAAAATGACCCCTCGGAGGTTACGCAAGCTTGGAGAGGTCTCTCCGCGGACCTCCTCGATGCCCCCCACTCTAAAGTAAATGTCAAAAACGTGTATTTTGAGAGGGTCCCATCTGATTTGATCGATCATTATATTACAGAGGACGGGGTTACCGACGCTGCGGGCATATCGAGATACGCCGAGGATGTCGCAAAGAAAGCTGACCAATACTTTACCAATCTATGAGAAACGAATCCGAGCCAGCCAGTCCTGCACCTGGACCTTAACCCCAACAATGCGAAGAGTTACATTACTTCTATTTCATATTCGGCCAATAGTCGCGGCATATGACCTTTCCTGCATTCTTTGGTGCCTTGGAACATCTGACAAACGCTCCGGCTCACGCTCACCGTGTGGAAACATGATGGAATCAATGTAGCAGTGGGGACTGTCTGACACTTGCCGCTTCAACTGTGAGCTCTGAGCCTTGAGTCTTTTAACGCAATTTCAACGTGCCTATCGTCTTACTGCAGTGGCTTCAACCTGAAGCTCCAGTGGAGTACTCCGTACCGGTGAATCTGACTGGGAACCAGAGTTTCAGGCAGGGGATGTTTGTCGTGTTAGTTTGACGAATCGCACCGACTGTTGACTTCTCAATACGGCAACTTTATCGTCTAGGTGCCTTTTTCTAGAAGGCTCATTCAATCATTCATAAGTCCTTTTACGAGGCGAGGCGCAACGATTAGGTACCAGGGTGTAATGACACGCTCTCAGTAAGCAGCGCGAAGGATCCCTGATTCTGGGGTATATGTCAGCCTTACAGCCCTAACAGCACAGCCCGCACGCCATCTATGACTTAGATCATCAACCATAATTTGGTCATCACGGAAACTTGTAATAATCGTTTTCCTGTTTTGCGCATAATTGTGGAGGTTCTCGGCGACTCGTTATACGAGTCCCGCTCCTTGGTAATGAGTCAATTCTGGTCCTGCTTAGCTCCGTTCCCGCTACTCTTTTGGCCCTCACACTGCCCTCCATCACTATAACATACTTAATGTGCAGGCTAAAGATGCGGTCAGTGGGTGTTGAGGAGCTCAGGCAACCTCGATCAAGGTTGCATCAGTGGCGTTGGCCATCTGCCTATTCGAGGCACTTTGTTGTCAGCCTCAAACCCGAGCGTATGGTCTGCTGTCAGATTCTTACTTCATGATAGGTCGACAGGAAACCTTGATTTACACAGCATAGTGACAAACAAGATGACACCCGGATCGGGCCTACACATGGTTGACGCTTACCAGATCCTTGGGAACACTGTAGAAAGGGGATTCATTGGATAAGCCCCCCAAAGCAATCCCGGACAAGAGGCATCTGGGCGAAGTTATCATGGAATCTCTATAGGGGCATAAGTCCCAAGAGCCGGTATGGGGTCGGTGTTGCCTGTCGGGCAGACGTATATATGAATGAGACGAAGACGCCGGAACACTGGTCGTGGAGTTTCATTTCAAGAACACACTACGAGGTGTTTGTCCCATTTTTTCTTGATTTATGAGGAAAGCCAATCGTCTCCCCCCTCCATTCGGACTACTACTGCTGCTACCGCCAATATGGCCGATCAAAATGTTTTCCAGCCGAGAGAGTCCAACAAGACACGATCTAGTCATGTCGCTGCCTCTTCCTCTTCCATGGATCAGACTCGGGAAAGAAGTCGAGCATTAAACCAGAAGCTAGATTTCGCCCTTCTTCCACTCCTGTCTCTCCTATACTTGTTCAACGGCCTCGATCGTGGTAACGTTGGTAATGCCGAGACACAAGGTGTGACACCCCTCTTCAGCTTTGCTTCGTAGTGTTCAGTCGACGAACTTGGTCACCTAACTATCTACTTCTAGGATTTACTACCGATATAGGAGCAGAGCCTGACGACCTTAATGAAGCCGTGTCTCTGTTCTTTGTCACATTCGTCGTCCTTCAGCCTGTCTCAGCCGCTGCTGGCCGTTACATCGGTGCTAGACATTGGATCCCCTTTCTGATGGTAAGTTGACAAGGCAACCCTTGATTAAGCATAACGACCCAGGACCAGCTAACACCCGACAGTTTGGCTGGGGCGCAGTGACTATTGGTCAGGCTTTTATCAGAGGACGTGGTACGTTGTTCTCCTTTTCTAGTTAACTAACGTCGTGCCCTTTCCAACTCTAACTTGACTCCAGAGGCACTCATTGCCACAAGATTGCTTATTGGCGCCTTCGAAGCGGGATTTTATCCTACCGCCGTGGCCTACCTATCATTCTTCTACCCACGATATGACTTCTGTGTCAGATTGGCCCTTTTTTATGGACAGTATGCAATTGCCGGTGCCTTTTCTGGCTCGATCTGTGGGTTCCAAACTCAACTCCAGGTAGTGCCAATGCTGACATTTTCAAGCATACGGAATCTTCCACCTTCAAGGCGGCCGCCTCAAAAACTGGCAGTACCTCTTCCTCATTGAAGGAGCGCTGACCTGCTTCTTTGCAATCGTTGCCTGGTTATGGCTACCTAACGGTCCAGGCTCCGCTTGGTTCCTTCGACCGGACGAGCGAGAGCTTGCCGTCGAACGAATGAAACAAGACAACGCCGAATTTGTCCAGCACGAGTACAGCGAAGATGGGATAGAAAAGAACCGACTAAGCAAACGGGACTTTGTCGAGACGCTCAAAGACTGGAAACTGTGGACTGTCCTTGTGCTCAACATCTGCGCCAGTGTTCCTAGCAGTGCCTTCTCGGTTTTTCTGCCTCTAGTTGTTCAGGGGTTGGGCTACGAGTCCATCCTTGCGAACTTGGTAAGTTGTCCTTGTACGAGAATCCTAATTGACCCTGACTGACCACGCAATAGATGACAGTTCCTCCCTTTGTTTGCGGCGCTCTCGGTCTCTACGCCTTTGCCCTCAGCTCCGACCATCACAAAGAACGCGGCTATCATATTCTCGGCGGGTTGCTGCTTGGAATCATTGGCCTTGTTCTCACCGTCACGATCTCCTCGAGTACTGGCCAGTATATATCGCTCTGTGTACTGCTCTCGGGCGTGTACATTTCTGCTCCTCTGACAATGGCCTGGCTGAGCGGCAACACACCCGAGCCTGGCAAGCGCGCCCTAGTACTTGGTGTTAATGGATTCGGCAACCTCGGAGGCGTGATCGGGGCACAACTGTACCGACAGCGTTATAAGCCACACTATAGACTTCCGTTCTACGTTACGCTGGGCTTCATGGCCATCGCGCTAGTCGGATATATCTCATATCGATTCTTGCTTGCAGCAGTCAACAAGCGCAAGAGGACGATACTGAGCACGATGACACCTGAAGAGATCGAGAGCGAGAGACTCAACGATCGCCGCTACGCAGATAAGAAGTTCACCTTCATGTATGGACTTTGATTGGAAACAAAGATTGAAATATAAGCAAGAATTGGCCGCTAGAATTGGATATGCTCAGTTAGTTAGATAGACAAGACAATTGATGTTTTCTCTCCATCAAGACTCCTTTTCCGCCTCCTTCATGCTGGCCAATTGACTTTGCAGCCCCTGTTTGCCTACTCTCATAGCCATCTCGATCTCCCTTTCCTCTTCTCTCAATCTGGCTTTACTGGCCGCTACCTCACGTTCTCTCTTCCTTCTCTGCTCTTCCACCGCACGATTCCTTTCTTCTAGCGCCTTCTCGCGTTTTTCGCGAGCATCGCGCTGCTTTCGCTGTTCCTCGTCGTCTTTTGCCGCATCCAGGTCCTCGGGTGGTGGAGGCAAGTTGCTCACGTAAGCCTCGATCAGGGGATCGCGGATTTTGGGCTCAAGCGATATGTATCGAATGTCGGTGAGGACCGGGTCGGGTAAGCCGGTAGATAGCGACTTGTTGTTAAGCAGATGCACAGGCTGGGCCTTGAGCAGGGCAGTCAGATCAGACTTGAGCTTAGGCTGGGCCATTTTGAGCCGCGCAATATGTTCTCGGTACGCCTTTTCGCGATCCTTGTCGTTGATCTTGTGATCTTTCATGACGTCCTCCTTCTTGTACTTCCTCTTGAACTCGGGCCAGTACAGCTTCGGGGTGGCCTTTTCTTGCAGGAATGCCAGGTAAGCAATACGAGGATCCCGCTTTTCCTGCTTCGCCCGTTGCTCCTTCAACTCTGCAATCTTCTCACGCGTCCATTCATCCCAGCAGTCTCGGCGTGCTTTCGTAGTGCTGAGCGCAGTGTATCTCAAATCATCGATGATCTTGCCTTCCTCGAGAAGCTTCTCCCACGGACTATAGGGGTTGATATTGAAGTCATTCAAGAGATCCTTGAAAAGGTATTTGGCATCATCCTCGGATAGGGGCACTCCCTCAGCGCCTTCGGGCCATTCCTCCGCATTTCCGTCGTCATAATCGCCTGGTTCGAGACCATAGTCATCTCCCATTGCCTGTAGTTGTGCTGCAAAATCGGCTTCTGTGAATTCCAAGGGCCCGTCTTCGTCCATTTGAGGGTCTTCCGTCCTTTGTCTCTTAGACGGGTGTTCCCCATCATCTTCACCCTCGCCTTCGTCATCCGTCACCTCAACCTCTTCATATTCGCTGTCGTCGTTCAGACCTGTTGCAGGAGCATCTGCCTTCTGAGTTGTCGCATTTTCTTCCGCCGTGTTTCCCGTGTTGTTCTCTTGCTCGGTTTTCGTCTCTTCTTCTGCTTCTCCTCCTGCCTTTTTCCTCAGTCGTGCTTTGTCAAGCTCCAGAATGGCGGGCATCAGCTTCTCTGGTATGCGCCAGTAGCTGGTATTCTTAACAGGGTTATACACAAATCTCCTCGAGTATTTCGTGTAGACTAGAATCCAAGGTTCACAGCCTGGAATCGGTTCTTTCCTCCTCGGCTTGTCTACGGGCTGTGGACGAGGTCGACCTTCGAATCCCCCACGTCCGCCTCCATGTCCGCCTCGTGAGTTACGTGGTCTTGAACCATTCTGATCTTGATTGAACTGTGCCATATAGGCATTGGCGACATTAGGATCGGCTAGAGAGGGTATTGAACCGTAGGCAGGGTATGCTGGCTGTTGTGCTTGCACAGGCTGCGGAGGAGGTTGAGTTCCCGGTCGCTTGTAGGTTGATTCCTTCGTTTCGGCATTATAATAGTATGTATGTCCTGTAGGTGCTGTATGTTCACTCCATCCTGGAGGCAGCGGCGCCAGGGCAGCTGCCGAGGGTGTATGCGTCGACTTGAGCATTTCGTTCGGCGCAGGCGCGTCGCAGACTATGACATCAGGTTTGGGAACGAGATGGATGTTTATGTGGACAGTAATTGGTAATCGGTTGGTTTCGTGTTGGTCGAGTTGTTTTGACCAAAAGCGCGTAGGTTTTGACTGCAAAAATCGCTTGATGTCAATAAAAGGTGGATGGTTGAGCAACGGCAAGAAAGTTATGATTCCCCCAAGAGAAGTCCGAAGGAGCTTGGGCCCAGCGAATAGTGGAGGATAAATGGATTCTGATTACCCTGTAGCTTCAGCTCGATTCATGGCTCGATTGTTAAGAACCGAACCTTAATGGTTTGCTCTGCTTGAAGTTAACAATTTGGTTGTGAGAAATATTTAGAATCCATTTCTATAATGAATATGTGCTATGTCAGCTCAGTAGACTACTCGTTGCGTGCGTGAGTCTATGGTTGACAGCTCTTTACTTATTAATTGAGTTTGTCTATAGGCACAATGAACCACCCACGTACTTTAATGTTCAAAGTAAGAGCTTATAGCAGAATGTTCCGTCGCATATAAATACTGAGCAAAGCAATACTTTCTTGGACCATCATCTCTAGTATCTGTTGGAAATGTACGCATAGATGCCATTCTATAGGCCTGTTCCCGAGCCTCCATTAATATGGCCCCAGAAATTCCAAGATTAGGGGCCCTCATTCCCGCTTTGGGCAACAGTCCAACCTCATCATCAGCTACAACCTGTCAACTCCTTACGAACATTCTTTGAGCGGTTCACTTCTGATATGACACGGTAGTAAAGAAGAAAATACTTCAATACTCAACTGCGCCTTGCGAAAAAGTTTCCGAATTTCGATCGCACGCCTATCTGAAGTCTTTCTATGATCCGCCAATCCCGGCTCTCATACCCTCCTTCAACCATCGTCATCAACCATGGCACCGGCTCATAACTATGGCTCATCTAACGGGCCTATCTCATTCTTGCGACGATATTGGAAGGCCAGTCACTATCGAAATAGTTACATGACAAAAAAGAGACTAACATGCCTTGCAGACAACTCATGCGCCTGATTATGTTGGGTTCCTGTTTCTCTTAGCAGGTTGGATCCTGGTCTGTACAACAATTCGAGAAGCGAGTTTCACCACGTTGACAGATTTATAGACGGTCCTTTTTGTCAACCCATTTCATCGCATGTTCTTCATCAACGATCTTCAGATCTCATACCCATATGCGGTTCATGAGCGTGTTCCTGTCTGTACGTTTGAAGCATTGAACCGAAGTAGACAATGCTTGACCACAACTGACAAAAACCAGTCATGAACTTTGTATACGCTCTGTTCATACCACTAGGAGTTCTCATCGCCTTCAACATAGTCACAAGAGCCTCGGCTGCAAAGCACGAAGTCACCTACCTTTCGTTCCTCATCTCTATTGTACTTACTTCCTTCATCACTGACATCATCAAGAACGCCGTTGGTAGACCTCGCCCTGACTTGCTTGACCGTTGCCAGCCCGCAGTTGGTACCAAAGCCAACACCCTCGTCACCATAGATGTGTGCACGAGGGAAGATGGTCATATTCTTCAAGAGGGCTGGCGGTCATTTCCTTCTGGCCACTCATCCTTTTCGTTTGCCGGCCTAGGATTTCTCAGTCTCTTCCTTGCCGGACAGCTCCACGTTTTCCGCTACTCAGCCGGCGGCCGTGATCTGAGTCGCGCTTTGGTCTGCCTTCTGCCACTCATCGGAGCAGGTCTCGTCGCCATTTCCCGATGTGAGGATTACCGCCACGATGTTTACGATGTCTGCGTGGGCTCAGCTCTAGGCATGAGCATTGCATACTGGAGTTACAGACGTCACTGGCCTCGACTATCCAGCCAAAAGTGCGACGAGCCTTATCCTCGACCAGGAGTCGACACACAACCCGGTTGGCAACGCATTACCGATGATGAGGAGGCAGCAAGAGGGACAGATGTAGGATTTGAGATGGACAACTTGAGTGGTTCGCGACGCTGATATTGGGGACTTAGGCTTAGTTTGCATGCTTGTTTGAGAGGCCTCGGCGTCATTCACATTGCATAGCGTTTTTCATCGATCCATCATATCATCCTCCAGCAACAACCATAGACTTGGGTGAGGTCAAGATTCGAAATACGTCTCGTCTCGTTGTGTGGTCATTTCATGATATTATTGTACAGGGGCAGATAAGGGTGGCCCCGCATTCCTTTCACCCCATCTATCAAGAATCTATTGCCTTGTTCCTTACTTTTCCTCTGTCTCCTCGTTCTTCGCCAGATCGTGCTCCTTCAACAACGCCGTGATCTCGTCAGCGCTCCACAGACGGTGGTAGATCTTGCCGTCCTCGGTCTGTCCTACTGTTGCGAACTCAACTACACATGGTATTAGCGGGGTAATCATCAGTAATCCGACAGCGAAACGTACTCTTCTCACTGCTCAGCTTGGTCGAGTCCATTGTCTTGCTAAGAACCTTGACTGCCATTCCACAAGCCTCCTTCAAAGTGCAATCCTCCTTATAGTCTTGCTTGAGCAGACTCTGTGCGCTTGCGTTGTTGGCACCCGCACTTGTAGCCTTCCAGCCACCGTAGTTGCCGGAGGGGTTGCTAAGGTAGAGCTGGAATTGTCTTCGAGGATCCCAGCCAGCGTAGATGAAAGACACACCGAAAGGTCGTAGACCACCGTGCTGGGTGTAACCTTGCTTCAGATCACAAAGGCGGCGGACGAGCTGTTCGCAGGGGATGTCTTCGTTGTAGGTGAGGAGGTATCGCTGAGCGGCTTGTCGGGCGTAATTGATAAGGATGTTGGCATCGGCGGTCATTCCAGCAACAGCGCAGATCATGTTACTATAAAAGCAACATCCATTAGTCATGTAACTCTTCAAAAGTAAGCCTTAGCAAGGAGTGGTTGCGCACTCGTTCAAAATGTAGAGCTTCTCGGCAGAAGTGTCCTGCTCCAACAGCTTTGAGGTGACCTTTCGCTCGGCGGCAAGGACAATACCATCCTTGGCCAGGATACCAATGGCGGTACCTGCATGTGAAATAGCCTCTAGAGCATATTCGACCTGGTAGAGACGGCCCTCTGGTGAGAAGATGGTTGTCTATAGATATCGGTTAGCTGGGTGGGAGAGCTTCCAGCTATTGGAGCTCAAGGGCCAACGCACTCGGGAATCGTAACGGCGAGACATGGCGGAAAGCTCGAAATGTCGGAATTGAATGTATGGACAGTGAAAGGACCTCTAACAGAGCCCAGGTAAGTTCTAATAGAAAGCCGTTGCGAGGGTGAGGAGCTGGCTTGTTGTTGGAGTTGAGGCTGTGGATTCGTTTACGTCGGTGCAGCCCAGGTTCCAGTCCAGATGGTTACCTGTAACGGAGCTCTAGGCCGCCGCGCCGCGTTAGCTCTCTGTTTGCTGAATTGCTAGCGGGTAGGCTGAATGTTCCTGCCTCAGGCTAGGATGACGGTGCTGAGCATCAGCCAATCTAATCAAAGCGTCGGCTGCAAGGCTGAGATATGACCTTGACTAATCCGAGCTCCTTCTTGGTAATTCTCAGGCAAACACTTTGCCACAATAAGGCATCAAACAGCTTTGTTTAAGTGGACACAAGCAGCGCAGCTTCCCAAAATCAGATTGTCTGTCACAAGCGCGAGTTTATCCTCCACTCCATGGGCCCCTGCCACCTGCCACCCGACCACTTCAACCACTGTAGGGCATGAGCGGCGGGCGGAAGCTTTCTAGTGCCGAAGTTTTCAAACCCTCCTCCGCATAGCTCTCTTTCCCCTCCAGTGAAGCATTTCTCTTTTACATCATCATCATCCCGAACGATTACTTTGACAGCAGCTATTTCGCCAACTCGAACAGAAGCTGCTGCCATACATTTTTCTATGCAGCAATTTGGACTTCGTCCAGAGTTCTGTCTTTAAGGCGCGCGTCTTTCGAAGCTCGGCACGCGACCCGCTCAACTTACTGATATTGCATTTACATCACCATAACGGCTGTCGCGCAACCTTGATTGACTTCATAACACCTTTCGACAGGTTTGGAGAAATCGTCACGCTCCGTGTAGTCAAATCACCGAGACGCGACCGTACTACTCATCTCGCGCACATCTCAAATTCCTGTGTATCGGCATATTGGTACATCACTTGCGCCAAGACGTATAGAGGTTGAAGAGAGACGAGCATCTTCGCGCGGAACAGCTAAGAAGGCTCTGAAGCTGTTCTTGACATAGTCGTGATTTTCAATTATCCTCCACGTAATTACCTCAATGCCCGTATAAGGGCGCATACCGTCCTGCGCTTCGTTGCAATAGTAGAAATTTCCCCAGCACTATTTCATCAGTCAACGCCTTTCGGCACCGACACGCGTCGCATTACCCAAATCCGCACTGCGAACATTGATACAACCTTTAATCATGTCTGGTAAGCGACAACGACTCGCCAAATCCTCAATGCCCTCTCAATCTGCTGTTGGCAAGGCATTCACACGTCGCGACAATTACAACCATACCAAGAGTTCCAAGGCATCAACTAACAGCGACAATTCAGGTGAAGCGGAACCCCGACGATCGGTCCGCGCGACCAAAGGTCAACACACGAAATCATTCGACGAGCTTGAACCCGCGGCGGTACCAAAGAAGCGACAGACGAAGAAGACTAAGAAGGCCAAGGAGCAGGAACAGGAACAGGAGCAGGAACAAGAACAGCAGCAAGAACAAGAGGAGGAAGAGGAGGATGAACTGATCAGATGTGTATGTGGTGCCACAGAGCAAGATGAAGATTCTGGCGAAGCTTGGATCGCTTGTGAAACCTGCGGTGCCTGGCAGCATAATGTTTGTGTGGGAGTAAGCTCATACGATGATGAGATTCCCGAGCATTACTGGTGTGAGCAATGTCGACCAGACGATCACAAGGAGCTCCTCGAGGGTATAGCCAAAGGAGAGAAGCCCTGGGAAGCCCGGCGCAAGGCGCATGAGGAAGAGTCCAAAAAGAAGAAACGCGGTGGACGTAAAGGTAAGGGCAAACGACACAGCGAGACCAAGGAGGATGATAAGTCCAAACCTAAGGCATCTCCTGCGCCCGACACCGCGAAGGACAAGAAGGACGCGAAGACAGGCAAACGAAAGACACGAGAAGATTCTCTTGATACGGATGGCAAGGTATGTTTCTGTCTTTGTACCTGGAATTATTGATGCTAACAACCATGCACAGTCAGCTAAAGTTCGCCGTGTGTCAGAGAATGGAACTACTCCTGTTACTGTCTCATACACTCCACCAGATGATCTCGCCGCATCGGTCGCAGACTTGCCTGGCGCTAGAACGGGACCCGCCAAAGCCCTGAGCAAGTCTCTAAGCCATGTTCTAGCATCTATGCACAAGCATGGTGACCTCCAGCTTGAAGAAGACAGTACAGTCGAGTCTCTATCAGAGACCTTCGCCCTCCAGATCGAGCGAAGTGTATATGATGCATACCCCGTTACCAAGGGACAGAAAGAGTACAGCCAGCAAATAAAGTCCTTGAGCTTCAATTTGAAGAACAACCCGGAGTTGGGCCAGGGGCTTGTGTTCAAGACTTTGTCTCCCACAATGCTGGCCACCATGACATCAGAGCAGCTTGCCTCGTCAGAGATGCAAAAGCAAACCGCTGAAATGAAGGCCAAGGCTGAGAAGCAATCGATTCTTTATACTTCCGAAACAGGACCGCGCGTGAGAAGAACACACAAGGGCGAGGAAGTCGTTGACGACGAAACGTTTACAAACGACCCTGCTGTACCCCTCCCACCAGGACCTCGGCGCTCAGATCAGCAAGTTAAGAAGGAGCCTGCAACGGGCGACCAAGCCGACCTGGCCTCACACCCACAGCAAACTGACGACAAGCAACGGTCGCCAAGCCAAGCCGACTTCGACATCGCTAAGGTCTTTTCGAGTGTTAAATCCCCAACTGCATCTCAGAACCGCAGGCCTTCAGCTCTGGCAACTGGTGCCAACGGCCCTGGTGTAGATCCTGATGTGGACCGTATGCTGCAAGAAGATAATGAGTCACCCCCTTACTCACCGACAGAGGAGACTCAAGACCCCGACGTTATCTGGCGTGGCTCTCTTGCCATGAGTTCGATTGCTGATTTCCAAGCAACGGCCAAGTATATCGGTGGTGCCAACTTTGCTTCAGTTGGACCCTGGTCAAAGTTGATCCCTAAGAAGTTGACTGTGGCTGGTCGAATCACTGAGCAAGCTGCTATTGAATATCTCTGTGGTCTTCGATACAGCAAATCCACCGATATTATCGTCGTCTCCCTCACACCTGTATCCCCAGTGGCCCATTCTGAGTTCCATACTCTTCTCAAATACTTTACGGATAAGAAACGTTATGGTGTTATTGGAGATAAAGCTCTAGCCAATGTTCGCGATACCTATCTTGTGCCAGTACCACCAGGAGAGGACAACTATCCCGAGTTTATGCTTAACCTTGTGGATAATAAGATCCCACGGGTACGCGAAGAGCCTATGCTACTAGCTGTATTTGTATACCACACTGAGCCTGAACAACTCAAGCAACTCAAGGATGGAGTTGCTGCTCAACAAGATCCCAGCGGTCCAGGCTCACCAACCCCTGCTCCTCACGCTCAGAGGAGTAACTCCACGGCGTCAGCCGGTCCTGCGTTCTCACCAGCGACCCCCCAGGCACCCCAAGGAGGATTCCCACAGCAGTCGACTCCGGCCCAGTGGCAGTCTGCAACTCAAACGCCTGTACCTATTCCGCAGCCGCCAAAGTATGCCAAACCGGCACCGCCGGCGGCAGCACCGGCAGCGGCAGCACCTCCAAAAATGTCAGACGCCCACAAACACCAGGCTCAACAGGCTGGCATGACTGCGGCCCAGGAAATTCTGGGACAATGGATCACTGCACCCACTGTGCAGTTCATCTTGCCTCAAGCCTATCAGATGGCCCGTAAGGAGTGGGAAGTTGTTCGAAAGGTTTTGGAAAGTGATGCCAAAGCGCGCGATGATCTTCAGCATCTTGGAATTTTACTAGAGAGGGAATCGAGTGAGAAGAATGGAGGAGCTGCTGCATCATAATCACGTTGACGGGATTGGAAGGGAAATAACATCGCTCAATGATACCAGTACAAGGCGTGTGGGAGTCAGGTGGGGAATTCGTTTGAGAAGCTAATGCTTCAATATTATAACGTTATATGATTATTCGTTATGACGGTTACTGTCATGGATGGAACGAGATGGATTCTTGGATCATGATACTCGAGATGTGTAGAATTCAAGGGCTCATTTTCTTTTACCTTCTTTGTTCGTATCGTGTAGTAAGAAATGTGACTTTGTCAAACGTGAGGTTATACGCACTTATACAACTCTATTCAACAAACAGGATCGCGTAGTTCAATTCCAATGTGAATACAAAACACAGTCACATTGCCTTTGATAAATACCGTAGAAGATACTCTCGGATGAAGCAGGTTCGAAAAGAACAAAAGGGGCAAAAAGCAAAAACATACAACTGCGGGGATTCGCTGGTCGTCAC